TACTTATTGGGGGCACTGCTGGTGCTATAGTACTCAGGCCCTGTCACTACTCTAGTTACTTATTGGGGGCACTGCTGGTGCTGTAGTACTCTGGCCCTGTCACTACTCTAGTTACTTATTGGGGGCACTGCTGGTGCTATAGTACTCAGGCCCTGTCACTACTCTAGTTACTTATTGGGGGCACTGCTGGTGCTGTAGTACTCAGGCCCTGTCACTACTCTAGTTACTTATTGGGGGCACTGCTGGTGCTATAGTACTCAGGCCCTGTCACTACTCTAGTTACTTATTGGGGGCACTGCTGGTGCTGTAGTACTCTGGCCCTGTCACTACTCTAGTTACTTATTGGGGGCACTGCTGGTGCTATAGTACTCAGGCCCTGTCACTACTCTAGTTACTTATTGGGGGCACTGCTGGTGCTGTAGTACTCTGGCCCTGTCACTACTCTAGTTACTTATTGGGGGCACTGCTGGTGCTGTAGTACTCTGGCCCTGTCACTACTCTAGGTACTTATTGGGGGCACTGGTGGTGCTATAGTACTCTGGCCCTGTCACCGCTCTAGTTGGTTATTGGGGGCACTGCTGGTGCTGTAGTACTCAGACCCTGTCGCCGCTCTAGTTGGTTATTGGGGGCACTGCTGGTGCTGTAGTACTCTGGCCCTGTCACTACTCTAGTTACTTATTGGGGGCACTGCTGGTGCTATAGTACTCAGGCCCTGTCACTACTCTAGTTACTTATTGGGGGCACTGCTGGTGCTGTAGTACTCAGGCCCTGTCACTACTCTAGTTACTTATTGGGGGCACTGCTGATGCTGTAGTACTCAGGCCCTGTCACTACTCTAGTTACTTTTTGGGGCAACTGCTGGTACTGTAGTACTCTGTCCCTGTCACTACTCTAGTTACTTATTGGGGGCACTGCTGATGCTGTAGTACTCAGGCCCTGTCACTACTCTAGTTACTTATTGGGGGCACTGCTGGTGCTGTAGTACTCAGGCCCTGTCACTACTCTAGTTACTTATTGGGGGCACTGCAGGTGCTGTAGTACTCAGGCCCTGTCACTACTCTAGTTACTTTTTGGGGCAACTGCTGGTGCTGTAGTACTCTGGCCCTGTCACTACTCTAGTTACTTATTGGGGGCACTGCTGCTGCTGTAGTACTCTGGCCCTGTCACTACTCTAGTTACTTATTGGGGCACTGCTGGTGCTGTAGTACTCAGGCCCTGTCACTACTCTAGTTACTTATTGGGGGCACTGCAGGTGCTGTAGTACTCAGGCCCTGTCACTACTCTAGTTACTTTTTGGGGCAACTGCTGGTGCTGTAGTACTCTGGCCCTGTCACTACTCTAGTTACTTTTTGGGGCAACTGCTGGTACTGTAGTACTCTGTCCCTGTCACTACTCTAGTTACTTATTGGGGGCACTGCTGATGCTGTAGTACTCAGGCCCTGTCACTACTCTAGTTACTTATTGGGGGCACTGCTGGTGCTGTAGTACTCAGACCCTGTCGCCGCTCTAGTTGGTTATTGGGGGCACTGCTGGTGCTGTAGTACTCATGCCCTGTCGCCACTCAAGTTGATTATTGGGGGCACTGCAGGTGTTGTAGTACTCAGGCCCTGTCACTACTCTAGTTACTTATTGGGGGCACTGGTGGTGCTATAGTACTCTGGCCCTGTCGCCTCTCTAGTTGGTTACTGGGGGCACTGGTGGTGCTGTAGTACTCAGGCCCTGTCACTACTCTAGTTACTTATTGGGGGCACTGCTGGTGCTATAGTACTCTGGCCCTGTCGCCTCTCTAGTTGGTTATTGGGGGCACTGCTGGTGCTGTAGAACTCATGCCCTGTCGCCACTCAAGTTGATTATTGGGGGCACTGCTGGTGCTGTAGTACTCTGGCCCTGTCACTACTCTCGTTACTTATTGGGGGCACTGCTGGTGCTATAGTACTCTGGCCCTGTCGCCTCTCTAGTTGGTTATTGGGGGCACTGCTGATGCTGTAGTACTCTGGCCCTGTCGCCACTCAAGTTGATTATTTGGGGCACTGCTAGTGCTGTAGTACTCTGGCCCTGTCACTACTCTAGTTACTTATTTGGGGCACTGGTGGTGCTGTAGTACTCTGGCCCTGTCACTACTCTAGTTACTTATTGGGGGCACTGCTGGTGCTGTAGTACTCTGGCCCTGTCACTACTCTAGTTACTTATTGGGGGCACTGCAGGTGCTGTAGTACTCTGGCCCTGTCACTACTCTAGTTACTTTTTGGGGCAACTGCTGGTGCTGTAGTACTCTGGCCCTGTCACTACTCTAGTTACTTATTGGGGGCACTGCTGGTGCTGTAGTACTCTGGCCCTGTCACTACTCTAGTTACTTATTGGGGGCACTGCTGATGCTGTAGTACTCAGGCCCTGTCACTACTCTAGTTACTTATTGGGGGCACTGCAGGTGCTGTAGTACTCAGGCCCTGTCACTACTCTAGTTACTTTTTGGGGCAACTGCTGGTGCTGTAGTACTCTGGCCGTGTCACTACTCTAGTTACTTTTTGGGGCAACTGCTGGTGCTGTAGTACTCTGGCCCTGTCACTACTCTAGTTACTTATTGGGGGCACTGCTGGTGCTGTAGTACTCTGGCCCTGTCACTACTCTAGTTACTTATTGGGGCACTGCTGATGCTGTAGTACTCAGGCCCTGTCACTACTCTAGTTACTTATTGGGGCACTGCTGATGCTGTAGTACTCAGGCCCTGTCACTACTCTAGTTACTTATTGGGGGGCACTGCTGGTGCTATAGTACTCAGGCCCTGTCACTACTCTAGTTACTTATTATGGGCACTGCTGGTGCTGTAGTACTCTGGCCCTGTCACTACTCTAGTTACTTATTGGGGGCACTGCTGGTGCTATAGTACTCAGGCCCTGTCACTACTCTAGTTACTTATTATGGCACTGCTGGTGCTGTAGTACTCTGGCCCTGTCACTACTCTAGTTACTTATTGGGGGCACTGCTGGTGCTATAGTACTCAGGCCCTGTCACTACTCTAGTTACTTATTGGGGCACTGCTGGTGCTGTAGTACTCTGGCCCTGTCACTACTCTAGTTACTTATTGGGGCACTGGTGGTGCTGTAGTACTCTGGCCCTGTCACTACTCTAGTTACTTATTGGGGCACTGCTGATGCTGTAGTACTCAGGCCCTGTCACTACTCTAGTTACTTATTGGGGCACTGCTGATGCTGTAGTACTCAGGCCCTGTCACTACTCTAGTTACTTATTGGGGGCACTGCTGATGCTGTAGTACTCAGGCCCTGTCACTACTCTAGTTACTTATTGGGGGCACTGCTGGTGCTGTAGTACTCTGGCCCTGTCACTACTCTAGTTACTTATTGGGGGCACTGCTGGTGCTATAGTACTCAGGCCCTGTCACTACTCTAGTTACTTATTGGGGGCACTGCTGGTGCTGTAGTACTCTGGCCCTGTCACTACTCTCTAGTTACTTATTGGGGGCACTGCTGGTGCTGTAGTACTCAGGCCCTGTCACTACTCTAGGTACTTATTGGGGGCACTGGTGGTGCTGTAGTACTCTGGCCCTGTCACCGCTCTAGTTGGTTATTGGGGGCACTGCTGGTGCTGTAGTACTCAGACCCTGTCGCCGCTCTAGTTGGTTATTGGGGGCACTGCTGGTGCTGTAGTACTCTGGCCCTGTCACTACTCTAGTTACTTATTGGGGGCACTGGTGGTGCTGTAGTACTCTGGCCCTGTCACTACTCTAGTTACTTATTGGGGGCACTGCTGGTGCTATAGTACTCAGGCCCTGTCACCGCTCTAGTTGGTTATTGGGGGCACTGCTGGTGCTATAGTACTCAGGCCCTGTCGCCGCTCTAGTTGGTTATTGGGGGCACTGGTGGTGCTATAGTACTCAGGCCCTGTCGCCGCTCTAGTTGGTTATTGGGGGCTCTAGTGGTGCTGTAGTACTCAGGCCCTGTCTCCGCTCTAGTTGGCCTTTGGGGGCACTGTTGGTTTATAGTACTCAGACCCTGTCACCGCTCTAGTTGGTTATTGGGGGCACTGCTGATGCTATAGTACTCAGGCCCTGTCACCGCTCTAGTTGGTTATTGGGGGCACTGGTGGTGCTGTAGTACTCAGGCCCTGTCACCGCTCTAGTTGGTTATTGGGGGCACTGCTGGTGCTATAGTACTCAGGCCCTGTCTCCGCTCTAGTTGGTTATTGGGGGCACTGCTGGTGCTGTAGTACTCAGGCCCTGTCACTGCTCTAGTTGGTTATTGGGGGCACTGGTGGTGCTATGGTTCTCAGTGCTGTATTGCAGTCCTTAGCTGTCCCTGAATTAACAATTGTAGGCTCCAGTCGAGGTTTGTCAGTAGTATACCCATGGTAATGGGTTTCTCGTAAGTGGTAAATGTTGAAGATTGGCATAAGATTTCCACTATCATCAGTCTGCCATGATATAACTGAAAGATGATTAGAAGTGGTGTGCAACTAATTTCACTCTCTGGTTTGGTTTATGCTGAACATGCAAGCCTTGGTTTTGTAAAGGAATTGTCGGAAATGGGTGTTGAAGCTTTTTCAGATTGTCATTTTGTCCTGTTTATTCAACCCTGGCCTGCATCATTCACACAGCTGATGATTCTGTGTACTGTGATGTTCAGAACAATTGGAGATAAAGTACCTGAACCTTATGAACCATGTTATCATCACAGAGTGATCAGTTATGGCAGGGTTTTGGTACTGTAGCTGACTCTGGGATGTTTGTATCTGGGTATTTGATAATCATGACGATAAACGAAGGATTTTAAATATTTTTCCTTGTTCACCCTCATTTTGCTTATTAGTGAAACATACATTGTATTTTTTACATTTAGTTTATTAAATGGTTGACAGATGCCTGTGGACAGATTTAAGAGGGTGTTAAATTACAAAACCAAAACAAGTCCAAATCTGTTATATATGTCTCATTTGCTGCTGATGTTAAGTTGGTTTAAGTTGAACAATTTTGTTGCTTTCTCCAGGACTGGCTTCACAGCAGGAGCATCATAGTGCCAGAACCAATTCCAACTGAGAGCAGTGCCTCTACAACAAGGGACAACTTTGTGGCGTATCAGGTAGGCTTCAACACAAAGGAGTCTGAATATATGAACTGTAAATGAATGGTAGTTATCCCAGGCACGGGTCCAGGTGTTGTACTTGATGGTTATTGTAGATCAGACATACCTTGGCTGTGAACAGGGAACTGTTTGTTTCCTATGAAACATATATCAGTAAACTACGGCTATAACAAACTCAAAGGGACCACTAATTTCGTTTCAAGCTATAGTTTGTTACACAAAGTTCGTCATAAACATAGTTTACTGTATTGTATACAGCAATAGGTAGTCTGTGACCAAAACTCTTGAGTCAGTTGGCATCATCCTCGTGTAAATATGTGGATTATTTAACACAGCATACTAGGTGCAACAAACATTTAATGAGACTCGTACTTCAGACAGCGATACACTGAAATCTTAAAGATTACACATGACTTCCAGCCACACAACAGTCTGACAAGTGTAATACATTAGTTGTCTGGGTTTTGTTTATACAATATGATAATTAACTACAGATAAGAATAATGTTAATTCAGATGCTGTATAAATCAACTGAGGCTACAAAACAATCCACCAGACTAGTGGATATTATAAAGTTGACAGAGACAAATTCAGCCACCTGAGATGGTGGGACAGGCAGGTATTATTATACGTTCAACCTTGATGGTGGACAAGAGTATCATTCAGGATTCTGACAGACCCTCACGGTACATAGTTGTAAACATCTCATTAATAGTGTTCACCATGTACACAGTAGCTTGGTTTCAATGTACACTGTAGTTGAAGAGTCCGACACTTGGGGTTCACAGTGCAAAATATTTCAGTTGAAAGAACAATGATTAGGAGGTTGTGTAAGCAGACAACTAGCATGAAGCCTGGGTTTCAAAGAAAGTAAAAAGAAATTGCCTATCTGGAGTCATTTTTAAACGTTGCTGTTCAGCAACCATATATGTGCATATTTTTCAGGTGTGATGAATCATGTGAAAGTATGTTGGTTTGTTTGGTAGTGGGGTTTAGGACAGTGCAAAGTGAAGGTTATCTGTTCCAGGGGGTTGTGACCAGCTGTGACCGGTCTAGTGTGGGGATATTTGAACTGGACCATCGAGTCGGGTGAGTGTGTCCAGGGTTGCAGTACTTGTACACCAACTTGCAGCTTGGGGGATCTAACAGAAAATTTGATCTTGTTGTCATCGCATTCTCTTCCCACAGAGGTTACTTGTCATATCTTCCTACAATACAGCCCTTTCATGGTGCATGTGTTCAGGATTCGTGAGTGGTTGCAATCAGATTTAGGTGTGCAATCAGCGACGTTGTTTTAAAAGTGATCATTCGCAAGGTCTAGGTAATTTCCGTATGCTTCGGGAAAACTAGAACCTTTTCACCTGGGTGTTGTGCAAACGTTTCTTCTAGACAGAACTCAGTCACCTAATGGCGGATCAATGGCATCTCCATTGCCCTCATTGACAACGGACAAGCTAGCCTGGCAGAGGAGGGATATTTGTGGCCCCACATTTGTTTGTATTAGTCCAGTTGGATCTAAGTCGATGTAACACATGTTTTGATTGGATAGAAAGGAGGGAGATAATTCGTGTTGCCATTTTTTGCCGCTAGGATATTTTACGAGAACCAGGAAATATGGCCGTATTAGAACAGAGGTTCATAGGAAGATATGACAAGTAACCTCCAGAGGCCCAGATAAGCTGCGTATCCGTGTAAAATTTCCAATAACGCATTGAAAAAATAATTGTTGCGTACCAATTACGCATTTAAAATGTTAGATACGCAAAAAGTTTAAAACAAATGCGTAGGGAATATATTTATAAAAAACGCTTTCGTAATGAAAAAAGACATCGATTGCTATCAAGTTGTAGTGTTAGTTTAGGACTAGTGTTGTACTGTCAGTATAGGATGAGTGATTTTTTATGAAATCATTTCCATAATATTTAAGTTGGTTTTGATTAGGTATGACATAAGGCAGAACATACCTGCTTAGTAAACTTACTCAATGACATAATACTTAGGTGAGTAAAATGACTGAAATACGCACATATTTGAAAGCAGTGGGTAACGGAAAATGAAATACCCACTCAACATTCATAATACCCATGAGCTCAATCTTATCTGGAGCTCTGAACCTCTGTGGGAAGAGAATGATTGTCACCCTGGAAACCACACATTACACTTATGTAGTTATACCACACATGAATAAGTGGGTATATAGTTTGACAGGTAATGAAGAAATTCCAGGCTATTCATCAAGTTTGAAAGTGGAATGTTGTAGTCTTCAGTAGGCATTCTTGAGGCAGCCAATGGTTAAAGCATTTGCTTGTCATGCAGAAAGTTCTACATGGAGTAACATTAATTCTCATGTTCCCTATTGGGACAGCTTAAACATACTGAAGAGAGGCATCAAACCATTCTTATTCACGGACTACCTCTAGTGATGCAGATGCCTTCATGACTCACCCTGTACTCTCCCACTGTTTGTCCAGTCTCTATGTGACCTGCGTGCCAGCCAGTCATCACTTCACAGCCCTCACCCTCGGGACAAAGATCATTGTCTACAATGCTCACAGGAAAGGCTTTGCAACGGTAAAAACCAATACTTTATTAGACTTTATTAGACTTCATTAGGTATCAATCATTAATATATCGGGGATCATGGCAGGGGCAGATCCAGAGTGGGGTTGCTGGGGTCCGACCCCACTTCTCCTCCAAAATGTTTTCCCTGAGGAGCATTTCTCCATAACCTTTGAAAAGAATAAAAAAGAATAAAAATAGTCAAATCACAATGTGTCATATCGCATCAAAATGTATCACATCATATAACATCGCATTACACATACTTTGTCGTATCACATCATATCATAACACCCCATATTACATCATGTCATATCATACCATGTATCATATCATATCATATCATATCGCACCACATCATACCATATCGTAACAAATAACAATATGAGTACATACATTCTATGAATTATTATGTTTATTTCTTAGAGACAATGCTTGATAGATAAAGGTTGACAACTTACGGATAAGAACATTGTCATCAGTACTCATTAACAAAGAAAATTTCACCCTATCGGGATATACAGAATGATATCTTGGGACATTTTTTTTAACTCACAATATAATGGGCAAATTAAGAGGAAGTGATATTCATCTTCTACACAATTAAGATCACAAAATGTACAAATTCTATTTTCCTCTCTATTTTATGATATCTCCCTGTTTCGATTGCCAAGTCATGTGAGGAACACCTAAACCGAGCAAAAGCCTTTCGAAATTTCTTGATATTTAGTGAGAGCAGATAATTCTCTCTGTATATATGGGATTTAAACATTCTATAATAGAAACATTTACTTGAGAATGACAGTGCTCCTACCCATTCTTGTGTATATATATCTTTGAGCCTTTGAGTAACATTATTCACAAAATTTGTATGAAAGTCAACATTTTGCCTTTGCCATACCTCCCCAAAACCTATTGTATTTAACAATTCTCGAATGTTAGTCACCCAGTTAGTCTTCCCGTTGTTATCGTACATTAACATCATATCATAACACTGTCTAGGGTATCTATCAGATGGCATATATAACAGACGTATCCAATATTTTATTATATTGTGTTCTATGTTCTTGTATACTATGGGCCTGTGGCCTCCAGTATGAATAAAGACGTATTCACGTATTCATAACCTTTGGACTTCATGATATGTGCACCCTTTCTCCCAAATGCTGGATCTGCCCATACTGCATGGTGACTGTGTATAGTTCTGTCTGTACAGCTCATTGTTCAACTGACGCAGCCTTCTATGGAGGGGTCCTCAGATGTGAAGGCAGACGCGTATACGTTCATTTGTATTTGCTTCTCTGTTCTTGACATTGAGTCACCGTCCAGTCACTGTGAAACCTTATACCCCATGATCCGTCTGTTCTGTTGTATGGCGAGCTGTATCAGGCTAACAATGTTGTATGTACCCAGGCTCCCAAGATCCGTCTGTTCTGTTGTATGGCCAGCTGTATCAGGCTAACAATGTTGTATGTACCCAGGCTCCCAAGATCTATCCGTTCTGTTGTATGGCGAGCTGTATCAGGCTAACAATGTTGTATGTACCCAGGCTCCCAAGATCCGTCTGTTCTGTTGTATGGCCAGCTGTATCAGGCTAACAATGTTGTATGTACCCAGGCTCCCAAGATCCGTCTGTTCTGTTGTATGGCCAGTTGCATCCGGGTTGTGGACACAGGACAGGAACAATCCTCCAACAAGCAGGTGAGTGCTCCACAGGTAATCTATTACCTATGAACAGATTGCCACTGATGTGTGTATTTGTGTTATATATCTCCACCCTAAGTCTGGCAGCACCTGATGTATGTGTTTGTGTTCTAGTTCTCCGCCCACAGTCTGCTACTGAAACCCATCTCTGTCTACAGTCTAGCAGCACCTGATGTGTCAGCACTTCTGGACATGCCGTCTGTCCTTAACCAGAAGCTTCAGAACCAGCAATGGTATAATGCTTTACTCTAGCACGACATTGTGTGATACTCGATTCTGATTGGCTAAGAGCTCATCAAAACCGTACTTAAATGGCTGTTTAAAACCGCTAATTAAAGTGACCGATTCACCGCGTATGAATACAACAACTCGTTGACCCTATTGTTTGTAAACAAACATGTCGGACATTGGCAATTTCTATCTCGGCAGCATCTTTGGTGTTTTTGAAGTAAAAAGCAAATGGTTTGAAGAAGAATTTCTTGACCCTAATCCCAGTGAAGAAACTACAAAGCTGGAAAATCCGTCAGCAGCGCAAGGCGACAGTATATTCAAACCGGGTCCAGATCTAAATGTGTTGACGTCGACAACACACGTCTGCCCACACGTCCTAACCTGAACGCTTCCGTCCCGGCCATAATGCCCAGTCCTTCCACTTCCACTGTCCATGTATCCCACATGAAACGTGGCATGTCAGGTCTTTTCCAGATTGGGAATAGTAGGGTGGTTCTCAACAATTTTTTCCGTGAATAAAGTTAGCGGCGACTAAACTTTGAGGGTTCACGGCTTGAATTTGGATGAGTCAATTGTCATACAATAGGAGGGGATCAATAATTCTCTTGAGAAAAATCAAATAATTGTACTTGCTCACAGTATAAACTGTATTTTTTTTATTTATGTATGCTACTTGTTACAAATACAAGCAGAATACTGGTTCCTGAAATAAAGCATTTATGTTGTTGAAAATGTCTTATTTTGTTCATTACACAACCTGTCACTCAACGGGACGATTCCAAGCGATTTCCAGGAAAAAGGCCCCTTCGTGCCTTGTGTTTTTGCGCGCCAAACAGTTCGGTTTTAAAACGCTTATTAGTCGTGCTAGAATGAAGATAAAGCTACTCTGTTTTCAATTTTGCGGTCCTTTATCGTTGATTTAAGACCGCTAAATGTTTAATTTAAAACGCGTTAGTGTGAGGTTTTAAATTAAACATTTAGCAGTCTTAAATCAACGATAAATGACCGCAAAATTGAAAACAGAGTAGCTTTATCTTCTAAACCAATACTATCAGTAATCATCACTGAATGGGTTTTGCTTATTTTCTCATGACAAAGGTCAAGTATTCTGGGTAATGTTGTCATAATCCGTCATCCATATTAACTTTTACATGTTCTTTGTAAGCCTTCTCTTCTGAAACCACAAATTCTGTAGATATTGCATAAATGATTTTGACAATAATCTCTCTGTAAGGTGCTCACAAGAATCATATCTGGTTCTAGACATGATATTTGACAAACAGAAACTTTCTGCTGTCTTATACTTGTTTACACTTTTTATGACCTTTCTGATCAAGTATTATGTTAAAAAACATTGAGGAGAGCTACATTCTTTCAGGTCCATATTGAACAGATTGGAGGACACTCTCATATGGTTCACATGTGATGTGGAAGACTTTCAGTGTTCCATTAACGACACTCACTCTGCTCCCTTGCCTTCACCATCCCCTACCCTGCACCTCCCCTCCTCAATGCTTCTCACTCCACTCTCAGCAGTTGAATGGTTGCAGTAGTCAGTTTACAGTTGTTGACTACATGATATCTTAATCAAAGGGAAATAACTTGAGTGATGTTGAGCTCCATATTCTGCCATGTTGTAGACATGTAATTAGCTAACACATGGCCCCACGTACTTCAGGTTTTCTTTCTCCTATGAAAGGATATACTGTATGTCTGAAAACATGGGTCTTCAGTCAGACAATGAGGTTTTCCGGTTGAATAATATTTGTTCAAACTTCCAATGAGCTTAAACCTTGTCTGCCTTTAAGCATGTTTGGTCCTTAAGTTGGCTGTTTGTTATGTCAGAAAGAATATGTTTCTGTCTGCAGTGACCTGCCATTGTCTGGCACCATCCCTCTCATCCCTGTCATCTTGAACAGCAGCTGTTGCCCATGGCTACAGGAGGAACCCAGAAATCTGCTGCAAGAGTTCCTGGAATCTCCACATGCCTGCTGCGTTGGTAGAGGGCAGGTAGGGGGGGTATTTTCATAATTCTAAATTGACTTTCACTTTTAGACACAGAGGCCCTAAATGTATGAATGTTGGTTCGGGGGGCATCAGTTTCAGCGTCAGTTTCATGGTCATGTAACTGCCTTCTAATCCAGTGAGAAAGTTGGATATCCTGTAACCTGCTCATTAAAGAATTATCAATTAATATTTGGGGCTTAAATGTATTTTTCCACAGTGAGTAATTTGGGTTTAACACCGTTTTGAGAGGTGTCACAGCATATCAAGTGATTTTGATTATAGTGACATTCACTTTGATGAAACCAACAAGCTGAGGTATGACCCTGATAAACCAAGCATCTAGGTGAGAGTCTAGGAGTCAGCTTATAATTACAGCAAAATTTAAAGAATTTGCAATTATTGTCTTTTGACAATATTGACCCCAGATGTTGTGAATTCTTTGTAAAGAGCTGTCCCTCAGTCCCAGAACCATATTATTTCCCTTCAGCCCATCACTGCTTGTAATAAAAAAAAGTTTGAATGAAGCAAACTAGCCTCCCACAGAGGGTCCTTTTCAATTACAGTTGTAATTGTTTCTCTGAGTTTTAGTGTTTCAGAGACTAAACACTAGTGAAGATGATGAGGGTATTTTTGGCATTGTGATGAAATGGGGCTTTGTTTCCAGTCAAAACCGAGAATCCCTGACCTTGTCAGTATCAGCAGAGAAACTGATGATCTTTCTGAGAAGTCACGTGACCTGACCGACCTTCGACAGAAGTACTACGGATCCCAACTATCTGTGTCTGATCTGAACCAGCAACTCTACTGGAACCCTGTGTCCGAGACTGTGGAGAAGAGTCAGGGCAAGGTGAGATATAGCTGGATATTCCATCCATATCTGTTGTGTGTGTGAAACTTTAGAGTGAAGGGATGGTTGTGTGATATAATGCAGATGATTCCATCTGTTACTGTTGTATAATACTGTAGCCCTATGTGTGTATACAATGAGGAAGGGATCGAGGCATGTGTGGCAAGGTTATGATGGTGACATTTTCTTCTTTCCAGCTTCTGATTGGATACCTCCAGTCCAGTCATGTGACAGGAAGACTCCAGCTACAGGATGCTACAGGATCAGTTGACCTTGCCGTCTGCTCCTCCAATCCACCAAGCGGCCATGTTTGTTGTCCAGCCTGTGTCAGCCCTAAGCTGGGGCATGCTTTAACATGTCCCTTGGTACAGCCCAACCTGCTTGGCAGCATCATTTGTGTCACCAGGTACAAGCGGATTGCTGAGCGGTTCCTCAATATTGATGTTCCCAACTCCTACCACATTGACACCAAATATGTGACCAGATCCAGACATGTTCTGTACCTCCAGATCTCCCTTACAGACTGTGTGCTGATAGACCTTCCATCCAGGTTGTCAGGTGAAGGCTCCGTTTATCAACTGGCACAGGAGAAAGAATTCCTTGAAAGGAAAGACAGGACTTCATCAGCTCCTCCACCAAAGAGGAAGAGACAGAATGAATATGACATTAAGGATGAATCACATACTGAAGAATCATCTGAGTCTCAGTTGGTCTACATCTCCCACAAGGAGTCTCTGACTACTCTCAGCAGGAAGGAGTCCCCAAAGCTTAGGTTCTGTGTTCTTGGATATTTGATAGGACAAGCAAACTCATCTAGAAATGATGACATAGGCAGAATCAGAAATATGCAGAGTGGTAATCTCACAAGTTGTAAAAAAACCACCAGAGCAGTGCATATATCAAGCTAAAAGAGAACCAGGGCTTTGAAAATGTAAATACATCATCGTTGAATCTTCATCCTTGTAAGATAGATTTGAACACATCAAAGCCTGAAGCTCTGTCAAGAAAAAGTGCTGACAGTGGATCCTCTCCCAGAAATAGTTCCATAGAGAGAACTGTTCATCAACAACCTGTTCATAAAGAATTTTGCTCAGAAGGAAGCAGTGGAGGAGGAAGTTGTACAGGAGCAGCTGTAGGTGGTTGTCCAGGAAGTGGGGCTGCTCAGCCTGCTGTGCTGCTGTTTCAGGGCAATGTGGGGTGGTACAGTGTGCTCCAGACAGGTGCCCTCTACACTCTGACAGCACCGGGGCAGGGAGGCAGGTTCCAGCCCCAGCCCCTGGAAACCAGGATGAGGAAGGCTATTGAGTCATCTCACTCACGTGTGTGTGTGCAGGTTCCCCATAATGTCAGGGTCACACGTGTGTTCAGCCCAGAATGTGTGAGTGTAAAAGCCACATGTTTAATGTTGTTTCAGAAGGCATGGTGATTTGTAATGGATTGAAACATGTACTGTAGGTTATGAGTGATATTCATATTGGCAAAGTATATGAAATAAAGTGTATCACTCACAATCATAATTGTGTCTCCACAATTTTGTCTCTGTGGATACAGTGAATTTATAGATAACCTTTTCTTGTTTTTCACTTTCAAATGCTGTGAAATTCAGGTTAGATATGTTAAGTATTTCAGGTTCAAATTTTAAACACTTTGAATGTACTTCATCTTACCAAAGTCAACTGAAGGCCCGAGTTTTGTATATAAGACTCATGAATATTCTTTGTCTAATGTAAATAATGTCTGAACTTTCAGATTGACCCAAACATTTTTGATGTGGTGAAGTTTACAGATCTCTCAGAGGTTTTATCAGGCAGGTATGTTGACTTCAACTATAAATGATACATGTGTGTGTTGATGGGGTAAGTCAGTTGTATTCCAGCCGTGGTGTTCAAGGTGCCACAATTCACTGTGTTAAGTGCCAGAAACTTTTGCTGTGGGTTTCACCAAGGTGGTAAATGTCTAATATAAGATCTGCTTCACTTTCCCTTTTCCTCAAACATCAAACTAACACACCATAGTATAACTGAAATACTCTTCAAAGCAAACCCAACTCACCCACTTACTCAGCAACATATCTTGCTGGCCTCGTTACAAAGGCAAATCAGTGATTGAAAGTGAAACTCTCAAGGTATCAATTAGATGTGTTCTGTTGTCTTAGTAGCACTCTCTTGTGGGAATGAAACATAATCAGACAAATATGCTGTGTGGATAGTAAGTACAGACATCTTAAAATGAGTTTCAGTCAGTTTAAATGAAGTGAATTGGTCACCTGTTTTGGTGGTAGATAAATCTGTCATCGTATCACTGTTGATGATGCTCAGCATCCTTCGAACCCCTATGTGTGGACCTAGTGTTGGGAATCGGAAACCAAATCCATTATCGATTATTGGAGGACTTTTGGTGATTGATTATCGATTATAATCAAAATATATACATTTTTAATGTAATCACCAATTTTAAGGGGTTTTCCCCAGGTTTTTCTAATTAATGTTTTTTTATAACTAATACTGTCATGCAGTGAAATGCACGCATGCAAGTAAGACACTGGAATTGTAAATAAACAATAGAAGTGGTTAAAATTTTACAATGCACATAGCATTACACTGTTGAGCGCATGTTTGTTCGTGAATATTCATCAAATTAAATGGTTAGTATACTTAATTCAAGGGTGTTATACAAAAACAACAAAATTCTGATTAATCCAAAATATTTTTTTTACAATCGATAATCATTTTTAATCCTTCTTTCGATTGATTTTCGATTTTTTTCGATCATCGGAACACCACTATTTGGACCTTAGGCTGGACTTACATGTACATGATGTAGGTGTTCTGGTTGAAATGAAAGAAATCCAGTCCATCAACATTCATTGAATTATGATCTTCTATGAAACCCAGCCATACTAGTCCATCCTTACCTTACTAGTAATACGCTATAATGAAATGAAACAATGAAACCCAGTTATTCTAGAAACACTGCCTTACTAGTTCATCAGGATTACTTTAAGTATAGTCTACTATAAAATCCTGGGACTAGATTTTCGAAGCTCTCTTAGTGCTAAGATAGTCATAAATGCCATACATTAACTTACGACTATCTTATCGTTAAGAGAGCTTCGAAAATCTAGGCCCAGGCTTACAAGTCCCTCAAGAATGATTAAGAGAGAGGTTACAATGAGTCCAGGCCATTACAGAAACATACTAGTCAATTAGGACATGGAAAATGCATGGTTTATAGTGAAACCACCTTAGCCTTGAAACCTGAGTGCATGCACAAAGCAATGTTAGTGCTAAGGTGATCATAACTCCCATCCTTTAACATAGGCAGTCGTAGGGCTAAGGTTGTTGTGTACAATAACACCCTGTATTACTGTTGATAATATTGTCATGTATAAACTGGGACTTATTTAGTACACAGAGTGAAAATGTTTTCCTACAAGCGTGAACTTTGATTGATTATGATCAAGCCTAAACTTATATTTTTTCCAGTTTTTGTGGAACCCAGGTAAACCTATGGGGTAGAATTATCTCCCACTCCCATCGGTCTCAGACATGCTCCCAAGCAGGTTCACGCCGACAGTCAAAGCCCAGTGACTCTCTACAGCAAGTCAACCAGCAGCTAGGTAGGATGAGGTGCTTACAGGAAATGCACAGATGCAAACCATCATGTTGACCATTGGAATACTTTTTACCCAAATTCCTCAATAATGAAGCATAGGTGTTAATAGATATAAACTTAGTGTTTATTGCATAGAGAGATGATTTGGTGTAGATTCTTACACTGTTATCAAACTATTCACTTTAAACTTGATAGTGGTGTAAAAATCTACACCGAAACATCGTTCTATGCAATAAACAAGAAGTTGGTTTCCATTAAGTCGTATGCCTACTTATTGACGCACCAATTTCTAGAATGACATTCAAACAAATTCATAAAAAAATTGTCAAAAATATGTGAAAAACATTCCAAGTAGTTTTAAATGCTTATTGAATTGATTTATTGATAATTGGTGTTTACTGTGATAATGAAAGCAAATTTTAATTACCATACTACCCCTGAGAGACCCATGAAGGTCCGGGTTAGAATGAACCTTCAGTAGCCCATGCTTGTCGTAAGAGGCGACTAACGGGATCGGGTGGTCTTGCTTGCTGGCTTGGTTGACAGTTCCCAATTGTTCAGATTCATGTTCATGCTGTTGATCACTGGATTGTCTGGTCCAGACTGAATCATTTACAGACCGCTGCCATATAGCTGGAATATTGTTGAGTGTGGCGTAAAACTAAACTCAATCACTCACTACTACCTCGGAGAAGCTGAAACTGTCACATGTTAGCATTGTAGAGCTAGGAACTATTTGTTTTTGAACATTACTAATTTAAACCCAGTTATTACATATATTGATAATTGTCTTATGTTTGGAGTGACATCTCTTTAAATGTCGTTAGTTTGTTTGCTAACACTGCTATTTAAAATGACGAAAATCTGACCATCATACGGTAGCAAGTAAGGGACAAAATCATTGTTCACATGTTGTACAATTGGTCTTTAGGTCATAAACCGCCTCCGTGGTGTAGTGGTAAGAGCGTCCGCCCGGAGAGCGGAAGGTTGCGGGTTCGATCCCCGACCGCGTCATACCAAAATACATTAAAATATGGTACTTGTTGGTCCCTGCCTGGCGTTCGGCATTAATGGGTACAACAAGGACTGGTCAGCTCGGAGTCAGTATAATGTGTCTGAGTGGGGTATTCATGCTTCACTGCGGCATGGTATCTCAGTGGGCTAGCACTATAAAACCAGCTTAGGTTGGCTAGTACAAGCAGCCGCACATACACACGCATGCACGTCGTCATATGAGCGAAATATTCTCAAGCACGACGTAAAACCCAATTTCACCTCACCTTTAAGTCATATTTATGAATACCCCTGTCTGTCAGATAAATGACAAAGGCAAACACATGTACTTACCTAGAATTCTATTGTTCTCACTAAATAGTAATCACTGTGTAGTTGTCTCCTTGTGTTACATGATAACCAGATCACCTACAAAAAGAAGGTGATTTACTGCTATATAACCACTGCTCCATTGTAAATAAAGAAGTTGTATTTCAACTCCAATGTCTCTCAAAGAAGTCGCTGCATATCTAGTAAAACCTAAAAATGGACTTATAGCACATGAATATGTATTGAGGTTTTCACATAAACAGTTCTAAATGACTAGGACAGGATTTATCACAAGAGTGAGTGATAGAGTATGCTTTTACGCTGCTTTTAGCAATATTCCAGCAATATCACGGCGGAGGACATCAGAAATAGGCTTCACACATTGTACCCATGGGGGGAATCGAACCCGGTCTTCGGGATGATAAGCAAACACTTTAACCACTAGGCTACCCCACTGCCCCATTATCACAAGAATCTACCATACAGGTTTATAGTGTAACCATCATTTTCAAATAAGCCATTTAGATCTCATGGTTAGGTAATATGTTTTATGTTTATATGATATTGGTAATAAAAGGAGCACCTTGTGTTCATTGCCAGGCGTATCTGTGCTTGATGGCCAGTGTGTATACCTGCAAGTGCGGAGTCTCACGTCGGATGCAGAGATACCCGTTTACATGAACCTCCCGACATCTTCCTATCCCCTGGGACTCCTGCCTGGTGCTGGTGTAGAGTTCCGGCGAGGAAGGTGTCCTGGAGAGGAAGGTGTCTCGCATCGAGAATGTGTACTGCCAGTTCACAGCTATATCTACTGTAACACTTTTCCAGGTGTCAGACTCACACAGGTAGGTAGTTCCGGGACAAGAGAGGAAGATGTCTCGCATCGAGAATGTCTACTGTCAGTTCACAGCTATATCTACTGTAACACTTTTTCCAGGTGTCAGACTCACTACTGTAACACTTTTCCAGGTAGGTAGGTTCCGGAGACAAGAGAGGAAGGAAGTAACACTTTTCCAGTGTCTCGCATCGAGAATGTGTACTGTCAGTTCACAGCTGTATCTACTGTAACACTTTTCCAGGTGTCAGACTCACACAGGTAGGTAGTTCCGGGACAAGAGAGGAAGGTGTCTCGCATCGAGAATGTGTACACTTTTTCAGGTGTCAGATTCATGTGAAAATTATCCAGTGGGCAACTGTGTCAGAATATGTCCTTGGTCCTTCAACTCACAAAAGTAAATCAAACCTAGGCTTATGGCCAGGACCAGTGATTCAGTTGATGGTGATGCTTCCTAGTGTAATGATGGAACCAGTTGTGATGATCAACAAATCGCTTTGCCTCACCCAGGTTTGATATTTACTGGATGCAATGTTTATGTAGCTGAATATTGCCGATCCTACCATAATACAAGAAACAAGTAATGTAATAATAATAATAGACCACTTGTATTGCGCATGCATGCTCGAAGCGCACAGTCAAATAAGAAGAGTTCAGAGCTGTTGAAAGAGATAGGTCTAGAGTTGACGTCTGAAAGACATTAGATTTAGAGATCTTCTGATTGATTCTGGGAGGCTGTTCAACGTGGATGTCGCTGCATATGAGAAGGAACGCTGGCCATATCTCACAGTCTTGATGTTGGGAATGCGACACAGAAGCTTGGACTCAGAGCGTAGGGATCAAGGGGGAGAGTAGACAGGCAGGAGGTCCTGTAGGTAGCCTGGAGCGTCGCCGGACAGACACCAGTGGGTTAAGCAGAGGATCTTGAAAGTAATCCTGTGCTGCACTGGAAGCCAGTGTAGATCCTTCAGGATTGGAGTGATATGAACTTGTTTACGGGCGAGTGACACAATCCTGGAGGCCGTATTCTGTACACGCTGGAGACGATTTATCTGCACAGCAGATGCTCCAACAAGGAGACTGTTACAGTAGTCGATCCTTGTCATGATTAGGGACAGTTATGTAGCTGTTTTGTTAAACTTTGTTTGAAACCTGTGTGAGTGGGAAAAAACATACACCAGATGGTCAATCCCACTTCAGTGCATCTCTGTTTCAGACCCGTCACAGACCATCCTGTACAGGACACAGACACGGTGAAAGTCCCCCCACCAGTACATTATAGACATATGGCGGTGTCCGACGTCAAGTGCTGAGTTCACTTCCACTTGCTACATCTGCCACTTCATGAAGCTGTGTCTCAAGTCTGTGTGCAGCACTTGTGGCAGCATCGTCACCACCACAGGCTGCAGCAGCCCGTCCTGTACTGTCACCGACACATATCTCAGTGCTAAAGTCAGGTAGGCCCAAGTTGTTATTTATTATTTATTTTTTTATTATTGGATATTTATATAGCGCACATATCCACACACTACTGCATGCTCAAGACGCTGGTATTTTCCCCTCGATCATTGGATGTCAATCTCAACGGCACATCTTATTATCAATCTCAGCTCCATGGGGATCATACAACTCTTGCTGCCACAAGGCGCACCGTGTTATTGCGGCTTTCCCATACTTACCAGGTTCCCATTCACAGCTGGGTGGACTGGGACACATAGTCACAGTACTTTGTCCAAGTTTACTGCACGTTGCTGTACCCCGCAACTAGGTGTTTGCACATATTCATGTGGCCACCATCTGGTTATATACCAACGGATTCGTGGGTTCTTTTAAGTGCACAGGGTTGTGTACTGTACACTAGGGTTTGTGACACCACTGAAAGAGTCTGCACACAAAGTTGACTCCACCTGGTCACAGGTAGTATGTTAAGGTAAAGTTGTCCTTTCAACTAAAGTATATTCAGTACAATATCATGTTTATCATTATTTAGTCAGTTATCATACTTTTATTGATATTTAGTATTATAACGGTAATGCTATTTTTGAGGGCATTATCATTTGCAGAAGCCTGTGGTCTTCCATTAACTGCCCGACGAAGGACGGCAGTTGAAAAAGACCGAGGGCTTCTGCAAATGATAGTGCCCTCAAAAATAGCATCACCGTTATTATTGCTAAAATACATGGAATTTGTGTTGAAAAGAAAAAGGAAACAATGAAGGAATTTGACTGTAAGTTTACTCAAAACCAACTTCTGAGGGGGTTGACTGCCCGAATGCAATTACCTCATCGAACAATTCAACTTACGCACAACAGAAAGTGACGATATTCGACCTTGGCCTTTAACAAGACCATAGTCTGCAACATGTCAAACTATGTCAGTGTTCGGTTTTGGCCCAACAACAACGTTAATAGTGCAATTGTTGAGGTTAGCACCAGCTAGAAAGCCAATATTACAGCTATTTAAAGCGGGAATTCGTGTTGCTTTGACTTGTTTGACCCAGAATATCTGCCAGTCCATAGCCAATGTCGAATGAACCGACGCACCCACTATGACGTCACTTGACAACAGAACTGATAGTGGCCCGTCGTTAAGGTTGAGTGGTCCAATATCATTAGCAGTGGCCCACAAATTTCTGATAATAGGAGGGCCGTTTCATGATAATTCCATGTGTTTTAGCTATAAAATATCATACTTTTGTCATTATTCAACAACATATTGAAATTATTTGTGTGACATATGAAGTGAACTGATGTATGTGCAAACTTTACAATGGAAATCCTACGTGTGGGCCACATCAGCTGTACACTGAATCATCCCATCATATAGTCCACATTATATCCATGTGCACTCATGCAATTCAGGGTGGCCTTATTCATAGCTGTTGTAGGGCTAAGGTGGTCATATACTTTAACATAGACTTACGACAGTTAGAGGCGTAGCTACCATTATATAAAAATGCCTGGGCTTACACATGGTTGTTGCTAAAAAGGTTGGGCAAGCCCTCAATCCTATCAAAATATCAAGCTTTGCTTACAGACTTACATGAAAAAATTTGCTTGCTATGCGCCTGACAGTTATAGCATGAAGATTGATCGCTGTGCCTGCTCTTTAAGATTTCTCACAAGTGGACCCTTTACAGGTTCTCCATGAAGTTTTGTGTATTGTTTACACCAACCCCTTTGTAGTATTTGTAGGTTGTCTGAATAGATGTGTTTTGCGCTTTGAGCATACCTTCATGACGTGGAGACAGTATTTATAAATATATAAATGCCATTATTATTATTATTATTGTTGTTGTTGTTTTTCACACACCCAGCATCCTGGTAGATGATGGAACAAGTCCTGCTGTGGTTTCGTTTTCAAACTCCCCGGAAAATGTGCAGCTCTTGCTTCGTTTGTCACCGGAACAGTGGCACCACCTGGAGGTGGCTGCACAGGAGCAGGGAGAAGTCTTCATGCAGCAGGTACATTACAGATCATTCATACAGACTGACATTTCTTAAAATCAACAGTACTTCTTATAGTTAGACAAGTATGTTTTCCACTGCAATTCAAAGCCATATTGTAGGATGGAACATGATATCCTGGTTCATTCATGTTTTCAGTCAGTTGAAAGTAGGAAACATGTTTTCAGGTTTGATTTAGACCATGCAAGATTAAACAGACTTGCTAATGAAATTAAGAAAAACATTTACAACAGGGCCACAACAAATTGAGTAATTGCTTGTTTTTGTCTTGAATAAAAATGTTGTGATGATTCTAATTAAAGCTCAGGTGACTATCGTGGCCTATAGCTGGCTCTAAATTAAAGTGGGAGACAATGGAATCCATTCTTGGTTCTGTATTGTGAAAGATAGAAGCTTATGATGGCCATTTGTATAAGTAGTTTGTTTGTTTTATGGAAAAAGTCACAACCATCTGTTCCTCTTGAGCAGAAGATCTCACAAAGAAAGAATCAACTCAGTCCCCCACAAGAATTGGATCATTAAAATTGTATAACTTGATCAGTTTCCAACCTGTCCACCTTTCTTTCCAGTTTGTGGGTGAGGGTGAGTCTGTGCTCGAGAACTTCTTGATGCGACTCTGCAACAGCCAGCATGTCAAGCGGCAGTGTCGGATGGTCCTCAGACATCGAGTCTTTCAACATGGCCAACAGAACACATGGCGGTCGGGTGTCCTTGACATTAACCTGATGAACAAAGATGGTAAGACACTTACCCAATGTTTCACATACAGAAATCTTGATATGTTAAACTAGCCAAAGTAAAATCTTATTTGAAAGATGGCAAGTAGTAATATCTAATAACAGCTATTGTATGTCTGTATCATTGTGGTTGTTATTGGAATTGTGACATTGTGTTGCAGAGTTTACCTATCGCAGTGTGAAGGCCAATGCCATGTTTGAGACCCGCTGTCTACCCTATCTGCAGGTCGAGTGTCTGGATCTGAACGACGTTGGCTATGATGTGTGGTGATTTACAGACAACCCCAAACGTTTAGAGCGAAACTATATCTGATGACTCCCGGAGACACCAACGTGTGGAGAGCGATGTCTGGTGATTGACAGAAGACCTAAACATGGAGTGCCCAATGTCTGGTGACCCAATTGTCTGTCTGTGACTTCTGGAGACACCAAGTGGACTCGCGATGTCTTGTGACTTCGGAGACACCAATTGGAGTCACGATGTCTGGTGACTTCCGAACACACAAAGTTGAGTGCGATGTCTGGTGACTTCTGGAGACACCAAGTGGAGTGCGATGTCTGGTGACTTCCGGAGACACCAATTGGAGTGCGATGTCTGGTGACTTCTGGAGACACCAAGTGGACTGCGATGTCTTGTGACTTCCGGAGACACCAATTGGAGTGCGATGTCTGGTGACTTCTGGAGACACCAAGTGGACTGCGATGTCTTGTGACTTCCGGAGACACCAATTGGAGTGCGATGTCTGGTGACTTCTGGAGACACCAAGTGGAGTGCGATGTGTGGTGACTTCCGGAGAAACCAAGTGGAGTGCGATGTGTGGTGACTTCCGGAGACACCAAGTGGAGTGCGATGTCTGGTGACTTCTGGAGACACCAAGTGGAGCGCGATGTGTGGTGACTTCCGGAGAAACCAAGTGGAGTGCGATGTCTGTTGACTTCCGGAGACACCAAGTGGAGTGCGATGTCTGGTGACTTCCGGAGACACCAAGTGGAGTGCGATGTGTGGTGACTTCCGGAGACACCAAGTGGAGTGCGATGTCTTGTGACTTCCGGAGACACCAAGTGGAGTGCGATGTCTGGTGACTTCTGGAGACACCAAGTGGAGTGCGATGTGTGTTGACTTCCGCAGACACCAAGTGGAGTGCGATGTGTGGTGACTTCCGGAGAAACCAAGTGGAGTGCGATGTCTTGTGACTTCCGGAGACACCAAGTGGAGTGCGATGTCTGGTGACTTCCAGAGATACCAAGTGGAGTGCGATGTGTGGTGACTTCCGCAGACACCAAGTAGAGTGCGATGTGTGGTGACTTCCGGAGACACCAAGTGGAGTGTGATGTGTGGTGACTTCCGCAGACACCAAGTGGAGCACGATGTGTGGTGACTTCCGAAGACACCAAGTGGAGTTCGATGTCTGGTGACTTCGGAAGACACCAAGTGGAGTTCGATGTCTGGTGACTTCTGGAGACACCAAGTGGAGTGCGATGTCTGGTGACTTCTGGAGACACCAAGTGGAGTGTGATGTCTGGTGACTTCCGGAGACACCAAGTGGAGTGCGATGTCTGGTGACTTCGGGAGACACCAAGTGGAGTGCGATGTCTGGTGACTTCCGCAGACACCAAGTGGAGTGCGATGTGTGGTGACTTCCGGAGACACCAAGTGGAGTGTGATGTCTGGTGACTTCCGGAGACACCAAGTGGAGTGCGATGTCTGGTGACTTCCGGAGACACCAAGTGGAGTGCGATGTCTGGTGACTTCCGGAGACACCAAGTGGAGTGCGATGTCTGGTGATTTCCGGAGACACCAAGTGGAGTGTGATGTATGGTGACTTCAGGAGACACCAAGTGGAGTGTGATGTCTGGTGACTTCCGGAGACACCAAGTGGAGCGCGATGTCTGATGACTTCCGGAGACACCAAGTGGAGCGCGATGTCTGATGACTTCCGGAGACACCAAGTGGAGTGCGATGTCTAGTGACTTCTGGAGACACCAAGTAGAGTGCGATGTCTGGTGACTTCCAGAGACACCAAGTGGAGTGCGATGTGTGGTGACTTCTGGAGATACCAAGTGGAGTGCGATGTCTGGTGACTTCCGGAGATACCAACCTGTATATATCACAAATATGTGATATGTAGAAGACACAAATATATGTGATATGTAGAAGACACAAATACATGTGATATGTAGAAGAGATCAACCAGTGGATTAGGACATCAGGCACTGAATTTGACTGTGTGACTGTCAAAACATTGCTGACACAACACATCCAACACATCTATCTGTGATCATGGTGATAAGGATCTGAATATGAGAGTTACAAGTTCACAAACACAGGATAAATCACATCCTGAAGCTTGCAACCAGTGCTACTTTTAAAAGTCATGTTTCTTCCATTGTTTATTTGGTACATTTGTTAATACATTTTTAAAGATATATATATTTGTTTTCTTTCTTGCATACACTTCAGTTTTCAGTGATTTGTGACCTTTCATTGTATTCCTTACACTGGAGCTTGCCTTAAAGTTAAAACAATTGTTTGTGGTTGTTTATAATATATAAACTAAAACCTCACATGGGTTATCTCCACTTGTTATCGTGGACCATATTAAAAATAATGCGTTTTGTGTTGGGCATTAGTCAGGACACTATAGTACAGGACATTTCAAAAGGAAATAAGATATACATGTGTATCTACTTTTGGCAATTGGGTTGCATTGTGTTAACAGGTAATACTGAACCACAAAAGAAATGTTGCACTGATAGTGATTTCTTAAAGCATACACTTTAATTCACTCTAATGAACAATCAAAACGGAGGAGTTGACAATTATGGTTAACACATTTTCGGGAATCACATTTAGAGTTCACACAAACAAAATCACCAAAAATGGTACCATTAAGATACCCCAAAGTCAGTATTGTGTGTATCCTATGTACATGGAATCAATTAGCCGGTTGATGAAGGCCATAGGCACTTAGGGTCCATACTCTGTGAAATGCCTGATCGAGTTGTCGGCCTTGGGTGACGGTCATTCGGTCTTCTTTGAATCTCGTCTCAAAGGTGTTCTATTGGACTCAAATCAAGACTGAGTGCAGGCTATTGTAGAGTTTGGATGCCATGTTGTTTTAGGAAGTCCAATGTTACTCTGGCAGTGTGGGCACGAGCGTTGTCTTGCTGGAAGATGTGATTTCTGTAACGTTTAAAATGTGGTACAACGTGGGGTTTTATGACTTGGTCAATATAGTGAGCAGCTGTCACGTCATTTCCTCATCCTGGACCGAGATTCTGGAACATCACACTGCCAGCTATCTGGTTCAGACCGATTGCACCTTACACCATGATGCTTGGACCACCCCACGAGTCTCTTTCAACAATACACTCACTAGAAACAGTTCCCCACGCCTTTACCATACTCTTACTCTGCCACCGACTGTCGAAACACAATATGGGCTGTCATGAGAAAAAAGAACAGTTCTCCATTGTCGATAACGCCAATTCGATGCTGAGTTGCCCATTGCAGTCGGTTTTGGGGGTGATGAGCGGTGAGAACAGGACTACGATAGGGTCTGTGACAGCAGAGGTTTCTTCCGCGCAAACGCAGACGCACTGTATCGGCATTGATGGGTCTGTTGTGAGTCCCAATGGTCTGGTGAGCTCTTTCTATCGCTCTGGGGAAGCGATCCTGCAGATGGTAGCGCACAATCTGTCGGTCTTGACATTGTGATGTTACTGAAGGTCGCCCACTGCGTGGACGGTCTAGGATGCTGTTAGTGACCCGATACCACTCCTGCAGTCGGTAGATTGTCCTAACATGAACATTAAAATGATTGGCAGTCTGGCCAACTTGCAATCGTCCGAAGACTTGGTTCCTCTGATCTCTTGTAATTTGTGCCATGACGATTGTGTCAAAACAAAAATGATTTCAGGCGAGTTTTGGACTTGCTTTCATTGGTAGGGTTGTCACAATATGCATGTGCATTTTCATGAATGTCATACGGAACCTTTTACCAAGTCTGCCTTTTAAGGTGCATTTGGTCAATATGCTTTTTCATCAGAAAGACACTGATGTTGGTAATTACTGTCAGTGTCAATATGGATTGAAAAACATGTTAACAAAACGATAATAAAAATACCATAATAAAAACACCATTTGTAAGAACAAAATCTTGCATTTGGTTTTGAAAAGCGATGTCTCTTTTGTGGTTCAGTATATATCACCATGATCACCATCAGTGAGATGATCAGAACTGACTGACGAGCTTCAGATTTCATATTGAGTTAGTTGCTCAAGACATTGAGAGGATTCCTTAAACCACCCGACAGTAATATCTGGCAGAACTCAACAAATGTAGAGTAACTGTAGAGAAACACTAGTGTCCGTTACTCAATACCATATTATAACCATGATAACTGCAGGTGTTCACATGGTAAATCAGTTTTACAACAAATCTTGAATGCCATCTTTAACTTAATCGCCAATGATTATCATGACTACTATAATGAAAGAAAATGCTTATTTTTATTTTCAGTTTTAGAAGATATATGAGTAAATCAGTCTTACAAACACGGAGTCCATTCACCTTACAAATCCAGAGTGCATTTCTTCAATCATTTCACAAATCCGAGTGCATTTCTTCAATCATTTCACAAATCCGAGTGCATTTCTTCAATCATTTCACAAATCCCTGCATTTCTTCTATCATTTCACAAATCCGTGCATTTCTTCAATCATTTCACAAATCCGAGTGCATTTCTTCAATCATTTCACAAATCCGTGCATTTCTTCAATCATTTCACAAATCCGAGTGCATTTCTTCAATCATTTCACAAATCCGTGCATTTCTTCTATCATTTCACAAATCCGTGCATTTCTTCTATCATTTCACAAATCCGAGTGCATTTCTTCAATCATTTCACAAATCCGTGCATTTCTTCAATCATTTCACAAATCCGAGTGCATTTCTTCAATCATTTCACAAATCCGTGCATTTCTTCAATCATTTCACAAATCCGTGCATTTCATGCAATCATGTCACAAATCCACGCATTTCTTTAATCATTTCACTTACAAAACATACAACTCTCTTAAGATATGATCAGTCTCACCACATATATTCATAGATGTATCAACAAGAATTATTGTAGTTCTTGTTTTATTGAAATAACATATATACAGAAGCATTTAAATCAATGCATACATTGAGAGCTGCTGAATCAGCATGTCGTGGAACCTAAATGGTTTATATATCGTATAATTTCAGACTGTAACATAAACATCAATTAAAGTCATTAGTTAACATTTATTAAACACTTCTGGATATTTGGAGGTCTTTAAGGAATGTAGCACAAAAAAGGGCATTACCAAGATCACTTACTGATCCACGTAATGTACCTATAGTGCATCTGTCAGACATTAGTGCTTTAACTACTCCAATACTTATATAATATAGTTTTCAGTAAGTCTGTTAATGAACAGACTATTCTCTAAGGATGATCAATTAAAAAGATTAATTTTCATTCCAGAAACTAGATTTTCGAAGCTCTCTTAGTGTTAAGATTGTCGTAATTGACTTACATTACTTAGTTAATTAACAGTAACTTACGACTATCTTAGCTCTAAGAGAGCTTTGAAAATCTAGGCCTAGGATATTTGATATTATGTTTACGGATTTCTGTAGTGAGTGAGTGAGTTTAGTTTTATGCCACATTCGGTAATATTCCAGCTATATGGCGGCAGTCTCTAAATAATTGACTCTGGACCAGACAATCCAGTGATCAACAGCATGAACATCAATCTATGCAATTGGGATATGATGACATGTGTCAACCAAGTCATACCGATTTTGCAAAACCATCGTTGACAGATATCTGGGGTCTGGATATGTGGGTTACCATTGTATACAAACATAAAGCATGTTAAGAGAAGATTTGCAAAAGAAAAATACACAAACAAACTAAAGTAAGAACAAAAGAATATATAGCCTTCACCAATAATGATGATTGCTGTGAAAATTATGAGAACAAATGACTATCCTTTTCTTAAGATGGGTTGACTAACCCTACATTTAACCCTCTGAATAGCATTTACTGATAACTTGTCACCTGACTCTAAAGTATTCAAATGTATCTGAACATTTAACTAATATTCAAAACGTGTGATATACAGGTAAGCATGAAAGAGTGAAAGATTCAGTACAGATTTTGCTTTTTCACTAGAGCAACCACAGGTTATATCTGTCAACACCATAATAACAGCTTTGGTAGAACTGTTAGAGAGGCATGCCTTGGCTTTGGTAGAGATGAAAAATCAGCACATGCAAGCATGATACAATGCATGTTTATGGTTTGTCCACTAACTGAGAAGATACAAGTATATTCAACATTTTTGTCCATCATATATCAACCATTAGCTGAATTAAAATGAGCAAGAATATAATCTTGAAAATATTTTTTACAAAGTATGTCATTTTTCAAAATTTTCCATTAAAAACAGAATTTAATTCTTTTTGTTTGCAGCTGCAACATAAAAGCAGAAACTCATGAAACCAGAAACTTATACAGGTCTGTTCAGATAATGATGTGATATTTATCGAAAATGTCTTCCTTCTGTTCTTCAATGCACCTATTAGATGCAAAAAGCAGTCATGAACAAATGAGATAGTCATATTCTTGAATCATTCATGGCTGCTTTACAGAAGGAAGGTTTTGGACATGGCTGTTGAATGTATCTAGATACCTAACACCTACAACTATGTTCATGCTACAGCACAGAGAAGTAGAACAGTTACTGTAGCAAAGTCAGCCTAGGCTGAGGTATACGCTATGATTCTTGTCAGTCAGTGTCACCCTTTCTCACAACTGATCAACCATTATCCCACAATGCCCTGGTTGTGTTGGGAATACACACTAACAGTACATCTTCCAAGGGGCCCTCATTGTGTCAGACACACAACTGCCAATATGTACATCCTCCAGAGGTCCCTGATTGTGTTGGGATCACACACAAACAGTACATCTTCCACGGGGCCCTTACTGTAAGAGTCACACACTGCCAATATGTACATCCTCCAGAGGTCCCTGGTTGTGTTGGGATCACACACTAACAGTACATCTTCCAAGGGGCCCTCATTGTGTCAGACACACAACTGCCAATATGTACATCCTCCAGAGGTCCCTGATTGTGTTGGGATCACACACAAACAGTACATCTTCCACGGGGCCCTTACTGTAAGAGTCACACACTGCCAATATGTACATCCTCCAGAGGTCCCTGGTTGTGTTGGGATCACACACTAACAGTACATCTTCCAAGGGGCCCTCATTGTGTCAAGAGTCACAAAACTGTAAATATGTACATCCTCCTGAGCTCCCTGATTGTGCTGGGATCACACACTAACAGTACATCTTCCAAGGGGCCCTCATTGTGTCAGTCACAAAACTGTAAATATGTACCGGGTACATCCTCCAGAGGTCCCTGATTGTGTTCGGATCACACACTAACAGTACATCTTCCAAGGGGCCCTCATTGTGTCAGACACACAACTGCCAATATGTACATCCTCCAGAGGTCCCTGATTGTGTTGGGATCACACACAAACAGTACATCTTCCACGGGGCCCTTACTGTAAGAGTCACACACTGCCAATATGTACATCCTCCAGAGGTCCCTGGTTGTGTTGGGATCACAAACTAACAGTACATCTTCCAAGGGGCCCTCATTGTGTCAAGAGTCACAAAACTGTAAATATGTACATCCTCCTGAGCTCCCTGATTGTGCTGGATCACACACTAACAGTACATCTTCCAAGGGGCCCTCATTGTGTCAGTCACAAAACTGTAAATATGTACCGGGTACATCCTCCAGAGGTCCCTGATTGTGTTCGGATCACACACTAACAGTACATCTTCCAAGGGGCCCTCATTGTGTCAGAGTCACAAAACTGTAAATATGTACCGGGTACATCCTCCAGAGGTCCCTGGTTGTGCTGGGATCACACACTAACAGTACATCTTCCAAGGGGCCCTCATTGTGTCAAGAGTCACAAAATTGTAAATATGTACATCCTCCAGAGGTCCCTGATTGTGCTGGGATCACACACTAACAGTACATCTTCCAAGGGACCTTCATTCTGTCAGACACAAAACTGTCAATATGTACATCCTCCAGAGGTCCCCGATTGTGTTGGGAATACATATTCACACTTTCAACCTAAGTTGGAAAACAAGTCAGTGTCTTCTTGGTGATAATCCCATGGTTAAACTAGTCCTGTTGAGTTGAGTTGTACGAGTACTCTGTTCCCACCCAGCAAGCCACAACCAACTAGCTACCAACTAGCTTGACAGGAGGGTAGGACAGGATACTACGTGCAAATCAAACAGTCATCAGTAGTCCCGTCGAGATAGTATTTGAAAATGTTAGGCATCCAAACCCTCAGATTTCTTTTGGATGTTTATGAAACAAGCTAAGGCTCTAGGTTAGTATGACAAGTCTTCATCCATGTTTCAACTGTGTATAAGAAGTCACTGAAACAGTCCAGGAACAGATATTATGATTCTGATACTGTTCCTAATCTTTGAGTACATCAGCTGAACACTCACATAACTTTGATTGGGGCAGCAATACCAGTATCCCAGGTTCAGTAAGTTCTACAACTCTGTGTAGGAATGCGATATACTACTGGCAGCACAACTGACAAAGAAGCAAGTCCATGATGTCAATCATATCACAGGGTTCTTTTAGAATGCATAGTTTCATCTTTGAGATATCAATACATGTTTTGATGGATTCACTTATGTATTGAATGTTGGCTTTGTTTCACTGTGGAAGTCCAAGCATCTGTGAGGAATGTTACAACGCACTTCGCTGGTACTGTGTTATATACAAGGTGATTGTACAGGAGCACCTTCGGAACTACCTTTGTTCCACACCTCACTCATGCTGGCACACAGAATCTGATTTGATTAGTTTGATACATACATATCACCCCAGTCAAATATAGGATATGTCTACATGTATATGGTTTTCCTTGTCAAACACATGGCCGACTCCATGACATATGAACAGTACTGCTTGAAAGTCAAATATAAGGACATGTCCATTTGGTTTTCCACACCAATTGTCAAAAACATGTCAAACTCCATGATATATGAACAGTACTACTTGACAGTATTCATATATGGACCTCAGCACATATCAGGAGTCCGTGTTCTGTAATCTCAGTGTTCAGCTATCTTTGACATCCAGTTTTTAAGCACAAGCACTTATTCCTTTATGAACTGAATGTTCTTGTGAGAAAATCAGTAATGGCGGAGTTATTGTGGATAGTTGGTGACAATCTAAAGCCCAAACAAACTGTAAATCCTTTCAAAGATCTCTTGCTTTGGCCTACGTGAGATATGTCTTTACTGTTCCCATGATAGTCTTGTTACAAAGAACGCAATCATCAACTGCTTCTGCGCATGTTTCACATGTAACAAGATGGCCACAGGGGAGGAACAATGTACAGACGTCCCTCTGGCGACAGACTCGACACAGCCTCTGCTCACGAAGACGTTTATTCTCTAACAAAAGGTGAGCATTCTTGACCTTAGTATCTGGAGATTTTGTTGGCTTAATTTCAGAATCAGACTTGACCATTTCCTTGACGGGAGATGACAAATGAGCTTCATCTCTGAAAGTACTTTGACAATTTGAAACAACAGATGGAAGTTTGGTGGCTAATTTCTCTTCATTATTAGACTTGTCATTGCCCAGAGTTAAGATACAGTCTACAAGATCAGAGATCGTTCCACAGGACCTTCCATTTCTCCTCCAAAATATGTCTTTCGCCCTACGGATCTTATCGGAAGTGAACCCCATTTCCCGTGCCTCCTTCTCAACATCATCAAAGTTACCATCTGTATTGGGCACACCACTGCTATCACTTTGAAGGTCAAGGTTACCAATTGATGCACTTGCGGCAACATCAATGTCAAGGTCAGATATTACCCTACGGGCAACTCCAAGTTGGTTCAAGTCGGGTTTATTGATGAACTCACAATTGGGAGAATATTCTCGGTGCTCAGTCATGGGGTCGTGACCTACATCCCAGTCCCTCAAGGTTATTCCACACTGGAAACATGTGACTCTGTCGGCTGAGCCGATGTAGTAGAAGCCAGCAGCTACAAGACTCTCCGGGGACTGAGGTACATATGCTGTCGGCCATGATGTGAAAGAATCAAGCCTAGCAGCAGCCTCCCTGTATTCAGGATGCTTGGGGGCTGTCCTTGGGGTAGGGTTGGACAGTTTGCTGATGAAAGGGCAATTGGGTTTGGACCTCTGGTGCTCCTGCAGGACATTGTCGAGCTGGTGGGTCAGAGGCAGCTGAAGACCACAGTGGCCACATTGCACTGTGTCAGGAGCTGGATGTGGAAAAACAAGGAATTAGCATGAGTATTTCATAGTGACACTGTAGGTAATAAGTACTCAGTTATTATAAAGGCAGGGATACAAATGCATTTTTTTCTCAGGGCACCACTGGGTACCAGAGACATAATTTAGGTGTTCCTTTGTGAAAATAAGCATGTCCATACCTTTTGATGATCCAATTGAACTCAAAACATCAAAACAATTATGTCATTTCAAAATGGGATTTCCTGTTACGTGCACTGTCATTCAAAATGCCCATGCCCATGTTGAGCTGTGAGATTGAGTGTCACTGATAAACAGTTTTATGAAGTGCACAAATAGGTTTTGAATCATTTCAGTTGGTTAAGCTTATCGCATTTTCCATTAAATGAATTGTGTATTATTTTTATAATTTTAGTCCTGTTGCCAGGGCACATTTAAAATATTTCATTCTTGTCATCACAATACCCTACCATGAAGACCAAGGGGTTCAATTTTTTTTTTAAAAAGCCACTTTCCACAGGGCAAGTGACTTTAAGAAAGTTACTTGTCCTGACTACTTTTCCACTTGCCCTGATTTTATGACATAATTATGATGAAGTAATTATGAAAGAATAAAACAACATGGTATTTGATGTTAATGTTTACTGGACTATTTATTGAAAAGTGATAAACAGCAAAGAAAGATAACTCTACTTTATTATAATTGCAAAATTTAATAGCTACATTTTGAGCAGATATGAAATTAAATCCAAGTTTATTTGCAGTTTGAAACCATAAGTGGAAATTATCTAGTAGCACACAGACAAGTAAGATACCATTATCTGATTGCCCGAAATGAAACCTGACTTGTCCCAGGCGTCGGGGAGATGGGATTTTTTAACCCCTGAGACCGATTTTGATCCCTGAAAAATGTCATATCTTGCACCTTCGCACAGAGACCACATACCGGTATATGATCTCTGCTTCGCATGACTGGATTTGGAAGTAATCTGTGGGTAATATCTCCAAAACAAGATGTGTGAGAATGGAGGACGATTCTTGTTAGGTTTCATAAACATGAAAATAACTGCAGTAGAAAATGAAGCAAACATCCATGAATTTTGAAAGTACTCGAGTCTGATGCATCAATCAGAAGTTATCAAATCACAATAACATTGAACCAGTTGTTTTGATTGCTGCACCACTGCCGTTGCTAAAGTCCTGTCCTCTCTGTTTTAGAATAGTTCTTCGTTTTCCGTCATTGTCTGTAGGCATCCTCAATGTTATTGACAGCACATACAAATGACTGCACAGCTCATAAAGCTGGTTGTTTACTCATCAAGTCCGCTGATGATGCAGCTCTTGTAGTGCTTATTACTGACTGTGATGACCTCTATGGAAAAGAAATACCCAATTTAAAGACTTGTGTCCATATCATCATCTACTGCTAAATGTCACCAAAACAGATTACTGACTTTGATTCTAAAACAAAGAAAGAGATTTTCGATCCCAACGTCAGGAGGAAATAGTCCCCCAGTATAAATATCTTGTAACTGTAATTGACTCTAAAGGAAATTGGTCTGCTAATACTGACTTCATTTATACACAATACCAGCAAAGGCTGAAAAGCTTCAGGTTGAAACAAACCTTTCATATTCTTATTACATCTGTTTTATCCAAGTATTTTAACTTTCTCTATACAAGCATGGTTTAAGAGTCTGTCCATCCAAAATAAAAATGAACGAAACAGAATTGTAAATCAGGACAGTAAAATTGCCCCCACTGCTTCACCACAACTGGAAGTTCACGAACATATACAGCTATGGCCACTTTACCATGATTTGGTTTCAGGGCTTGGCATTCATCATATATTTGGGTTCTAAATTGAAAATAAATGAATGCCAGAATTTGAAATGTTTACAAGATGTATGAAACATTTATAGACCTCACGTGTAGGCCATATACACACTAAATGAGGTCGTGTGACGTGAGACCTAACTTTATCCTAGTATCTGTCTTGACGCCAGTAACTGCGTTCACTGTGAACTATATTTCAGACCTCAACCAGATTCACTCATAAACACCTTTGCATAATCATTCATGCGTACACTGTACATAAGAAAATATAACTACAGTACAAATATCATTACTGCAGTAAATGAGGACAATAGTACAAATATCATAATCATTCTTATAATATATTACTAACACGATTATGGTTTTGTTCTTTCCGTGCCTGGATAACACACAAAACAGTAACGTGCAAATTAAACAACACAAAAACTATGCATCTAACGTAATTAGTTGAGACATATACCACAGATTCTTAAAATATGCTGGACTAGGTTAGTCTCATTGTCTTTGTGTCATGCTCTTTTTGTTGTTTTTTTATACACAATTGCCTCTTTTTAATCAAATCGATTTGTTGGTAATATTTACCATATTTACTAGTATTACAACTGGCAATTATCACATGAGAAACAAGTGCTTCAGTTAATAGTTGTCTTACCTGTGTATGAAAACCCAGCCAGGGCAAGGACGCGGTTTTCCTTTTCGTTTGGTTTCGTGGCAAATGTTTCCAACCTACCCTTGAAGCTTTCGCTCTCAGGCACTGTTGTACTAAATACAGCCACACCACCCTGGACATACCCGATATGACCATCCGTCTGTAACTCCCCAGCTTCCATAGTTTTGGAAAATGTTAACTAAAAGCGATTATCATAGCGGCCGTTCCCTTCGAGATCTGTCCGTATCCTGTTACCCTCTGCGCTGCGCATACTCACAACGGACGTCTGAGATTAGAGACAGACTGTTGGGTTTTCCCCATCTATATTTAGTGTCGTGTTGGGGTTTTCCATTGCTCGACGGAAGCGTGGTTAATGATAAGGAAGCCACCTTTGTAACCCACCTTTGTAACCTTATTTAGTTCATTGAATCAAAGGTTTTTAATAACGTTTCAACTTGAGAGGAAGCTGTGCGTCTATTCATTTTTATTACATACTTTGGAACTGTACATGTAATGATTGGCCTTTGATAACGACTATGATGACAGTTCAACATTATCTGCAGGGGAATTCGTTGTGAACAGTGAAACAGATCGTACACATAAACTGGTATGAAGAACTAGCCGAAAGCTCTTTTATGAAAACGTGGTCATTTATATACATGCCATGGACGGATCCTGGTGTGTGTGGTGTGTGTCTTGTGTGTGTCTGTGTGGTGGTTTCGAAACAACAACAAACACAACACAACACCCACACCCCCCCCCACCACACACACACACCTGGCTCCGCTTCAATGTGGTCTTAAGTCATTTTCAAAAGGGGGGGTTCGAACCCCCTGGAAAAAACACACACACCCACATCCGGATCCGCCAATGCATGTGTGCGTGTCACGGGCAAGCCGTGACCTATAGTAGTTGGCCATAAGTGAGTCATCATTAGTGAAATTTCCATAGACTTACATCTTAATTAACTGTTGCAAGAATAATTTTCATAAATTGAGTAGAATTCATTTAATTTGATATTTTGAAAAAGTCTTGGAAATCATCTTTAGCTACGTGTACACAATTTTCTTTCGTTATTCCGTTGATTAGTTATCGAATGACACTTGATTAAGCACCATATATAGGTATGACTTTTAATCTATCCCATACACAGCCATGTTAAACCTGATTGGTATGTCTAATATATGTTGTTTAAATAGTTGCAATTTTCTTAATAATCATCGGAAAATTTCATGGAAATTATATGTATGCAGCTGACATGATTTCCCAGCTGGTAGATAAGTATTGAAAGCAATTCCAACGAAACTAAATTTATGAAAATTATTCTTGCAAGAGTTAATCAACATGCAACTCTGTGGGAATTTCACTAATGATGACTCACTTATGGCCAGCAACTGTACGTCATATCAGCTACCATTTCCCACCAGGACATCCTTCCTGGCGCCCAGATGCATTGTTGTCCGTGCAAATTTTGATGGCTATTGTTTGTGTGATCAGGGACCATAGTGCCTGCTCATAAGAGATGTTAAAGAGATGTTAGGACATTTGTTATGAAATGAACAAAGCTCAAGGTTTCCTTGTATGGTTTTGGACAAGAATTTCGGACGGAGGTGCTGATTTGGGCTCTGGGCAACCTGGGGTGTTGCGTCACACAAAGATTGGAAATTCTTAATAATGACTTGTGTTTAGGATAAAGTTCTCTTCAGTTAATGACGTGTTTTACAATTGTTCATGTTATAATCGAGACATGTATTTAAGTATTCGAAAACCCACAACACGAGGATATGTAAAGAGCGTACCCATGTTTACCTTTCGTGGGAGAGCGGAAGGTCGCGGGTTCGATCCCCGACCGCGTCATACCAAAAGACGTTAAAATATGGTACTTGTTGGTACCTGTCTGGCGCTCGGCATTAATGGGTACAACAAGGACTGTTCGGCTCGGAGTCAGAATAATGTGTCTGACTGGGGTATTCATGCTTTACTGCGGCATGGTATCTCAGTGGGCTAGCACTATAAAACCAGCTTAAGTCTGGGCTAGTACAAGCAGCCACACATACACATACACACGCATGCACGTCGTCATATGAGCGAAATATTCTCAAGCACGACGCAAAACCCAATTTCACCTCACCTCACCTCACCTTTCGTGTGGTCATCCTAACTGTGGTCATTTCGATTTGTTTGTGATGTATTTTGATTCTTGGTAGTGGCCATTTTGACTAGTGTGTTTGTGGCTACTTTGAGGTATGACCTTTTGTGACTATAATACTGTGTAATATTTGATATGGAATCTGAAACTCGATATTTGTGTCGTGTGATGCCTACACATATATTAACAACACGATATCTCGACTCTTGTAGGTGTTCGTCTGTGTACCTGCGCGGAATCGTCATGCTTATTCTTATACAGAGACCAGAATGCTACACTGTTTCGCAACACAGAAACATAACTTTTGCCCTGGAATGCGGGCGAAACCAATGGGTCTGCGTATCTCCAGAAGTTATAGTAACCTGTAATTGATATATGGTTATGAAATGATCATATGTCTTCATTTGAAAGAAAATGAGATAGATGTCTGCACCTGTGGTTATTTATATCTGTTGTCGGTACCTGTATTTATACGTTATATGTATCTGTATTGATGCCTATTATCTCTACCTGTGTTTAAAAACTGTACCTTTATTTATACCTTATATATGTACCTGTTTCTCACCTGTTATCTGTATATATATACCTGTTATCTTTACCTGTATGTATACCTGTTATCTGCACCCGTATTCATACCTAATGTCTGCACCTGTATTTATGCGTATATGTATAGGTAGTTATACCTGTTTTCTGTACCTGTGTTTATATCTGTTATCTGTACATGTATATGTACTTGTTATCCGTACCTGTATTTATACTCGTTATCTGTACCGGTATTTATACCTGTTATCTGTGCCTGTGTTTATACCTGTTTATATCTGTACCTGTATATGTACTTGTTATCCGTACAGGTATTTATACTTGTTACGTTTACCTGTATTTATACCTGTTATCTGTGCCTGTATTTATACCTGTTATCTGTGCCTGTGTTTATACCCGTTATCAATACCTGTATTCTCACTTGTTGTCTGGACCTGTGCCATAACACTTCTATCCCGCAGAGGACTTCAAATGGTCGGTCACAAACTATTTGTGGGGAAACATAAGAAACAAAATAATTTTATGAAAAATAATTTAATATATTTCTTATTCAACCACAAGGATACAGAGTCTTTTGGATACAAAGATAGAAACGATACGATATATGATATGTGCTTGGTTATTCTGTCACTCAATAGTTCTTGATATAGTCAAGAATCGTGTCAAGATTCTGGAGCTGAATATTTCATTTTCCAATACAGAAGTCGTTTCACTCTTAATAACGTTGCTGTGTCGATGTGGAAGCCATTTGAAGGAACACGGTGCGTGGTGTATTATCACAGTTGGATGACTAGGACAAATTGTTCACCATTGTTGGATGTTGTCCTCAACATACAGATGGACGGACGTTCGTAATATCACAGAAGGTATAGTTGTACTGAGTTTTTGATCTTCCTTAGTTGTCAATGAAAACATATATACCCGGTTAGAGTACACAGCGATTCATTGATCAAATAATGAAGGTTTTTACTGTTCCAAGGATTGTCTTCCCACACGTCACACACGCGTCGACCTTGTCTGCGCAATCAGAACACGTGACGAGATGACCGCAGGGCAAGAAGAGGATGCACACGGGGTTGTTTTTGCACATTCTGCACGTGCTTTGTTCTTTGAGACGTCTGTTCTCGGCCCTCAAGAGCATCAGTTTCCTGCTCACGGGTTTGGGCTGACAGATTTTAGATTCCTCTTTCTGACTTCCATGAGAACCTGTGATGTCTGATGTTATCTCCATATCCATGTTAGATTCAGATGGTATATTTTCCATCTCTCTGTCACACACTTTGATTGATAGAGTCTGTAGATTTTCACATAAGGCTGAAGTGTCCACGGATTTATCACATCCCTCCATGACTATAGATGGGTTTTCTTCCACAACAGAAGTGTTAGGGTCCACAGAAGCCGCACAAGCACCACCACCAAGGTGAAGGTCATTAGATGCTTGCGTAAAATGAAGGTCAATGTTTGAGTCGGCATTCTCATCAATTACCATAGATGAATCTTCACTCTCCTCCTGTTCCTTATCACCTCCAAGAACCTCAACACGTGTATGTGATGATGTGAATTCGCACTTCGGGGCATACCTTTTGTGTTCTGCAACAGGGTTGTGTTCTGCTTCCCAGTCTCTCAAGGTTATTCCACAATGAAAACACGTCACCCGGTCAGCTGACCCGATGTAAAAGAACCCGGCTGATGCAAGCTCCTCGGGTGTTTTCGGGACATACCGTATAGGCCAGGCCACATATGAGTCGAGTCGTGAGATGTATGTTTGGTACTTTGGATGTTTTGGAGCAACTGTGCAAACTTCTATCCTGCTTTCTGTATGGTTATTCGACTTGGCCTGTAAGGGGTTAAACGATGACATGGTCACGTTCTTGTCCATGCTCGATGTTTGATAACCTGAAACAAATAAATAGGCTTTGTACGACAAGATCCCTTCAAGAATCATCTCAAAGACGGTTGTGAAAATTCATGAAGAAGCAAAAGAATGAAAAATTAATCTGCACTGACACGAGCGAAGACAATGGCTCTTCACAAAATACGTCAATGGAGAAAACTGTTTTTGCAGTCGTTATGTGTACATATTTTGAAAGTGGTGTGGTCATTCTTTGCTAATATACACTGTACACACACAGTGTTTCAGCCGTTTACAACTGTTTGACGCCAGGGTATTCTGTACTATTTAGAAATATTTGTACCACAGGTCTGCTGATCCTTGCACGGCTAAGAGAGGTAACCCAGCACAGTATAGTCGTTACAGTATAGTTTACGAGAGCAAGTGGATGTATTTCACTAACACCTCAGTCTTTATACTTTGTGTGGATGAGACATGTGAGGCTGAATATCCCTGTGGATTATCACAGACGTTGTGGATCTGGACACGGAACCAGACACCTGTACTCACCCGGCCGACCGTTCTGCTGTTTGAAACTATTTCACATTGTGATTTGTTATAAAATACTGTCGGTCTTAGCTAACTGTGGAGGTTATGTCTTGTCCAGAAATAAAGTAACCTACGACGCTATTATTACACATGACTTTATGTGGAAAATGCTGATTCAGCTGCTGACAAGCTACAGCTGCCATTCAGAATAATGCTCACGCAATGGCTGACTTGCCAGGCAAATAGCACTTGCCTCCCTTTTGTTTGCAATCAATAGTGTTGCGACAAAGTCTCGCCTACGTACAAATGACTCAACATCAAATAGAGGAGTCACAGACTTCTCATCACTGGTGGTTACCAGTATATGTCGGTATATTTGATACAATTTGATATCTAATCGTAGGTTGGTAACCTCCTTAACATTCAATTATATATATTATATTTTGTTTGTTGTTAAATGGCACATTCAACAATATTCCAACAGGGAGTAATTCTGAACACACCATAGGTATATCTATTAATAGATTCACACAAGCCCAACATCTCTATGCAATCATCGCTGATCATGGATTAATCCTTTGATTTCAACTTTCTCCGAGTGGCTTCAAGGCATGGTTAGACAAATCAGCCCTGTTGTCTGTTTGACTACAGTGCCTGTAGGGAGGAGTGACAAAGAAACAACCATGATCAACGTTATTGCCTAAGTTTTAGCCTCTTACGAATCGTACTATTATTCTGTATGCACTTTAGAGGAGTACACACCTAATTAGTGTTATTTGTACTCACCAGTCTTGTGATAATCCGGAGATGTTAGCGAGAGACGGTCTGAGGTGAAGAGTGATTTTTTGTACCTGTGCCGGATTCCTGAAAGAAGTGTCAAGCCATCTCCCAGAAGAGTAGTTTGTTAGAATGTCTCCAGGCATCGCTGTAGATGTTACACAGAATGAACCTTACAACAGAAGAGGAGTATAAGTCACTCCGGTGATTCACAGTTTGTAACAGCTAGGCGAGGCAATGAGTGTGAGTTTGCTATCGTAACCAAGTCATATATGTAGAACGCCCTAGAAGGGATTTCCAATCTAAATATAGATCCACGAGCGGAACATGCGGAAGCTGAAAGGGCGATAACTGCATGCCCAGAGTTGCTGATCTATTTATAGAATTATTTCCCCCCACTCATACAAAATACTCATTGTTATTTAACTCGTGTTATTCGGGGACAGGCCGAATACAGAGTCTTTTTTGACGATTGGTGACGAATGAGAAATTACTTGGCGGAACGACGTTCGCGTGTTCTTTCGTTTCTAAAACATTCTATTACGATTTTGCGCGACACCCCACCTCATATGAAGATGGGTTATTCTTTATTTGTATTTATATTAAGGCGTTCGTTCGTGACGCCGAAGACTCGGGTTCGATTCCCCAACATGGGCACAATGTGTAATGCCCATTTCTGGTGTCCCCTGTCATGATATTGCTTGAATATTGCTAAAAGCTGCGTAAAACTAAAGTCACATACTCGTGACCGTGAATGTCTTGCCCGAGTCGTATATGAAGGACACATTCACATATAAAGGTGCTCCAATAATAAAAGTAGTAATATCTAGAATTATTGGCAAGTAAAGCCCCCTGTAAATATTTAAAACGTGTCATAGAAGACATGTGAAACACATTTCGACACATTCATGCATCAGTGACCAAATTGATGCCACATGCGATTCCCCATTTGTTTCGAAATATATGATTCCGTGTTGTTTTGTCAGGTGAACAATTGACTTGCCTTTGCGTGTGTATTGAAGCTGCATGGTTTTGGGGTAGGATTCGCTTAACTTTTCCTGGACACCTGTTAACTGTACTATTTTATTGTTATTCATAAGCATATGCTCGTGGTATATTCGGAATCAGACCACAGACTCTGCTTTACGTGGAGATTTCTTGTGGCTGTGAACATCTTTGTCGTGGTTGACGGACAGAATAAACGCCTGTGTTATTTACATATATTTTTAAATAGACTGGTTAGTATTATACTACAGTGTGCCCGCTAAACTAATACTGAACATGACTCTTTCCACGACCCGTGAAGGCCCGGGTTAGAATATTGGCCTTCAGTACATGCTTGTCGTAAGAGGCGACTAACGGGATCGGGTGGTCAGGCTCGCTGACTTGTAGAGGTACAGGTAGTATGTGTGGGCTTATAGTTAGTAAAAGTGGTATGTGTGGGCGTATAAGGGGTGCAGGTGGTACCCGTTGGCTTATAGAGGTACAGGTGGTACCCGTGGGCTTACAGAGGTACAGGCGGTACGCGTGGCCTTATAGAGGTACAGGCGGTACGGGTGGGCTTATAGAGGTACAAGCGGTACGCATGGCCTTATAGAGGTACAGGTGGTATGTGTGGGCTTATAGAGGTACAGGTGGTATATGTGGGCTTATACAAGTCGTTAGAATATTTTTTGTTGTTGTATTCTTAGTCCTCGTTTATGCTGAAGACATTTGAATACCATTGCTGACCTTCGCTTATGTTATGAGACTGTCCTTGTTGATATGCTAAGCTGTTGACAGTTTATCCACGTGCTCTTCAGTGACCTAGCGCTATTTTATAGCGGTCTCAGATTATACCTCAGGGTATTATGGCTAGACCAGCGACCCACTGCCTAAATGCCTAACGCAATATTTGGTTTCATAACTGACTGACGTTTAGTCCAATAAATACAGGGACCAGACAAACTGGGACAGACAGACAGACAGATAGATGCGTTTGGGTTATCCTTGGTTCGGGACAACGATGGCAGTGAAGAAAGCCAATGAATTGGACCATGTTACTTAAAGGGTATACCTGATGTAGGAGCGGCGGTAGGTAGCCTAATGGTTAACGCTCCTGGTTCGAATCTCCACATGGATACAATATGTGAAGCCCTTTTCTGGTGTCCATAGCCGTGATATGGCTAAAATATTGCTAAAGGCGGCGTAAAACCATACTCACCCACTGTGATATAGGAATTCATGCAAGGTAATGTGATATATATCGATGCTATGTGAGACACCTTGAATGAGCTTGTATAAAGAAATTTGATGACTTATCAACTTAATGTGACGGGAAAAAGAAAGTATACACTTGTAAACCAAGACATGACAAACATGAACAATACTTAACAAGACCAAAACACTTCAGCAAGGCTCTAGACACAATTGACTCGTGAAGATTTGGGTTAGAATTGGTTTTCAGAAACCCATGCTTGTCGTAAGAGGCGACTAACGGGATCGGGTGGTCAGGCTCGCTGACTTGGTTGACACATGTCATCGTATCCCAACTGCGTAGATCGATGCTCGTGCTGTTGATCACTGGATTGTCTGGTCCAGACTCGATTATTTACAGACCGCCGCCATATACATGTAGCTGGAATATTGCTGAGTGTGGCGTAAAACTAAACTGATCCACACACTCTTAACACAATCATTATAGCTTTATATGATGCACCATCCGCGAAAACATTTGACATGTATTGTTTTATTTCAGACACCGTCAAACATGAATGTAATTATTCTTTTGATCGGCATGGGAAAGATACTCCCGCACTAAAACCCAGTTAAAAAACCTTCGTGAAGGAAAAACTTCTGGGAAAGCGTAGAGTATTCAAAGACAATAAACACAGAAGCAACAATCAATGAAAGAAATCTACAAATATATCACAAAACAAGACATCACTCCTTAGGACTAATTGATGGGTCCATGCATAATACCCTGGCTTTTTGTGCAATGTATTTTGATTACATAGTCTGTTGAACTAAACACTTTGCTTCACTTCTTCCCTACTGCTTATATAGCGTCAATAATATATACTCATGGTCATGGAAACGAATACAGGAACACACTGAAGTGCAAGTGTTCCTATACGCTTTTCCGGGTTTCTTGTCATGCTTTATATTGCACTGTGGGTGCAAATCTGGAAATAAATAGAGGAACACTTGTACTTTCATGTTTTCCCTTATTCGTCTCCATGAGTATATTTGCGATTAAAGGCCGGTTTAATGAGCACCTGAAAGAAATATACATTACTGCGTTTTATCGAGGACGATACAGTCGATAATTCTTTAGCCAGAACGGCAAACACACCTTCACATGTAATAGTTTCTACTTGTGATGAAGAATGTCAAAATAGTGGTTGCTTTTCAAATTCCCTCATGTGTGGGTGTTAGCAACAAGAACAATACACTCCGTGCATCAATGGAATTGTAGTTACTGTTTAGTCAAGATCTATCTATAAAAGCTCAAGTATAGTTATCATGATATCACAACCATTCTGTTGTTTCTTTAATGTTATATCATGAAGAGGTTTGTGTCAGTCTCATTAATCTCAAATCTTTTACCTCAGTGCGTGAAGATCTGACAACCCCTTCCTTGAAGGTCGGGTCCGGTGACCTTGACTGAACCTTGACCTCCTATCTATATGCAGGATGTGCATGCTATTGAATCAGTCTGGTTTTAGTTTCTAAATCAAAAGTTTAAGTTAGTTCAACCGCGTGTCGGAAATACCGATTAAAAAGGAACACAAAGAAAGAGATCACGTGCTATTGTTTGTCAGCATACAAGTCAAAACATTGACTACTCAACAGTCTCGTTTCCTGCTAACTGGGTTCCGTCCTATTGCGCAACTTAGTACAATAACAAGTCCAGAATTTTGAGACCAACTCATTCAGCTGGATATATAAATAATAATCAGTATTATTTGATACGTCTAATCACTTGTATATTGCAACACTACGCTCCTTCTAATCCTTGCAAACACGTCGTGCAGCGTGCTGTGTCGTACAGCCTGCTCTGACAAACGGAAATCTGGAAATCGTGGAAATCTTAAAACGAGGCTCGGCCGTTAGAAAAGTTTGGCGGTCTTGTACGGACTTGATATTATATCAATCACATTGTACGCGTTACAAACATACACTTACTAAGCGCAAAGGACATATAACAGGTGTAACCAGTGAGCCAGGTGAATTGTGAATCATTGTACGACTCTTCAAACAGGGGCAGTATGTGAAGTCTTAGTTAACGACATGCTGCCTAAACCTCGATATAAAAATAGAAATACGATTGTTTAAAAATTTAAAATTAAAATCAATTTGTAAATACCATTTGCCTATGAAACAAGGAAGTGGAATTCAGTGTAACCATAGTTGTTTGTAGTGTCTCTTTTCACTTTCACACGAGAAACTTCGCATCGGCTGAAAAGTAGGTCATTGTCTGAATTGGTTAATGAGACTCACGTTTCGGTTTGAATACCCTTGTGGAAGCACTTGGCGCTCAGAAACGACCTGCACTGACGGTTTATCAAATCTACAGAGGAGTAGTATAATATGGATATAATGTTATTATAGCAACCTACATACAAAAGACAGCGGTAAGCCTTCTAGATTTCTATATGACATTAATACTGTTTCGTAAATTTTAATGCCAACATTGTATAACTTTAAAATAAACATTGCAGATTTGCAGTGACCATCAATTAGTCCTTTTCCTCCACTTGCACAGATAATCTCAAGAGCTACAATTATTGTTATTTCACAGATTGTTATTACCTTGCAACTGAAGGAAACGGTTGTTTGTTATAGTCCGTTTGGCTCAAAGGCGGACCGATGAATTGCAATCTAACTCGAAAACTAATAAACATAAAATACTCAATGCAACACTGATCATAATCAAACGTCAGACATAAGATAAATGAAATATCTATACTATTTGAATACAACTTTGGTCCCAACCGATCTAAAGCAGCCAAATTAACTTTGTGAAAGACTTTTGATTTTACTGCGTTTCAGCGTGTACTGAGGTATCACCATGTTACTAAGGAATAAGATAACGGAATGTAGATCCTGAGAAAATTACATCCCTCCCTTCTCTTTGTATGACTATTACATGCCATTTAAAGATTTCATACACAAACTGTTCACTATATGTGTTGAATGTCCATTAATTCATGTTCCCGGGTCCATGATAATCCGGGTTACTATTGGTCTTCAGCAGCCCATGCTTGTCGTAAGAGGTGACTGACGGGATCTGGTGGTCATGCTGGCTGACTTGGTTGACACGTGTCACCGTATCCCAGTTGCGTAGATCGATCCTCTTGCTGCAGATCCACTGGATTGTCTGGTCCGCCATATAGCTGGAATATTGCTGAGAGCGGCGTTAAATAACATTCATTCAATCGAGTCCATGAAACAACTCTGCGCAACTGCCATGTCCATCGTCTACATGACTGGAGACTTGCATACAGCGGCGTTTGTCCGTCCCAGAATGTCCATTTTACACGTCATGCATGTGTCAACTTTGTTTGCGCAGGACTTGCATGTAACGAAATGACCACAAGGTAAGAAGATGACGGAAACATCCTTCTTTGTGCACAATCTGCACATTCCTAATTGTTCCCTTGTGCCGCTGTTCCGTGCATTAGCATTGCAAGGAAACATACTTTCAGGGTTTTCCTTCTCATTTTGGTCAGTGGTCTTAAGGAAAGTAGCACTGTCTTCGCCCGATCGTTTCAAAGTCGAAATTTTCACTTCTAAAGCTGACACGTCTTGAGGTGTTTGGTCTTGTTTATCAACCAACGGATCTGAGAAAAACAATCCTACGATCAACTTAAGTTGTTTTCTGATGTCCAGACAATTAAAGTTGGAGATAATATTGTTGGTTTTCGGTGCACCCGCTGCTCGTCTTTGACTACCTCTGTTGGTTTCGTCAGTGTTAGACAGTGGAGGTCCTTGACTCACTCCGTTGGTTTCGTCAGTGTTAGACAGTGGAGGTCTTTGACTCACTCCGTTGGTTTCGTCAATGTTAGACAGTGGAGGTCCAAAATTCAGGTCATCTATCCTGCCTTCCTGCTCCTCTAGCCGCTTGATGAACGGACAGTGTTCCGAGTATCTCTGATGCTCAGCCGCAGGGTCATGTTCTTCCCCCCAGTCTCTCAGAGTTATCCCGCACTGGAAACACGTGACCCGGTCAGCTGACCCGATGTAAAAGAACCCGGCTGTTGCCAGTTGCTCGGGTGTTTTCGGGACATACCGTCCAGGCCAGGAAACAAATGATTCAACTCGGGAGTTGTATGTTTGGTAGTGTGAGTGCCTTGGCACGTTTTGCTGCAAAGACCCAGTGGGACTTGACATCTTGTATCTGAAGAACATAAACACTCGGTCTGTAGTTATTACTGAGGATGTCACGACATAGGTGCCTCACGATACGATACGTATCGTGATACTGAGGTCACAACACGATACGTATCGCGACACTGAGGTCACGACACGATACGTATCGCGATACTGAGGTCACAACACGATACGTATCGCGACACTGAGGTCACAATACGATAAGTATCGCGATACTGAGGTCACATTATGATACGTATCGCGATACTGAGGTCACGAAACGAGACGTATCGCGACACTGAAGTTACAATACGATAGTATTACGTATCGCGATACTGATGTCACAATACGATAAGTATCGCGATACTGATGTCACAATACGATAAGTATCGCGATACTGAGGTCACAATACGATACGTTTCGCGATACTGAGGTCACAATACGATACGTATCGCGATACTGAGGTCACGACACGAGACGTATCGCGACACTGAGGTAACAATACAATAGTCTTACGTATCGCGATACTGAGGTAACAATACGATAGTATTACGTATCGCGACACTGAAGTAACAATACGATAGTATTACGTATCGCGATACTGAGGTCACGACACGAGACGTATCGCGACACTGAGGTAACAATACGATAGTATTACGTATCGCGACACTGAGGTCACAATACGATACGTATCGCGATACTGAGGTCACGACACGAGACGTATCGCGACACTGAGGTAACAATACGATAGTATTACGTATCGCGATACTGAGGTAACTATACGATAGTATTACGTATCGCGACACTGAGGTCACAATACGATAGTATTACGTATCGCGATACTGAGGTAACAATACGATAGTATTACGTATCGCGACACTGAGGTCACAATACGATACGTGGAAGAGATTACTAGAGAAGGGAAGACTGAGTATCAGCCAAGTATCATCAACCACACTCACCAAGTCATATCTTATGTTCTGTATAACAAAATACAATGGAAAATGTGTTAACTTCACTGTTTTGTTTGTATTTTCCAACAAAAGTGTTGTGTGATATAATGTGCTATATCAAAATAATAATCGATGTATGTCGATACTAATACAAATGAATCGTGCATCGTATCGTGCAAATCTTGCCGGCGATGCACCGGTGGATCGTGACATTAAACGTTATTACACAGCGAAGGTTTACCTTTTATTTTTAAAAATTAACGTGTAGCTTTGATAAAAAAACAACCAAGAAGCTTGACAGTGGTGGAAGTTGAGCAACCGATGAGGAGCTTTCTGGGCCCACCGAACTTGGGACAAGCTATTTGAAAGTTTGAAACGGACAGCTGTGTGCAATGAAGCCGAATTAAAATACAGAATTCGTGCCAGCATCCAAAACTATTCTGGAGTCAAGAAGAGTGACAGGCTGTTTCAAGTCATTGCTGCTGTCCCGTATTTGACCTATATTGTGTCGCCCTTTTTATTGAAAACCTAAAACTGTGTGTTAGAATGTGATTTATTGGTTATTCATTTATTTTTAATCATATCTATAGATGTTTTATTCCAATTCAGCTAAGTAATCATAAATGTTAAATGCTGTGTATAAACTTGCGTACCAAGGAACGTACACACCAAGTGTTCTGAGATGATTTGTAAAAGAAAAGTTAATAATTTGAAAAAGAGTTTTGACTGTGACATACGTGGAACATTCACTGTATTGTTGCATTCTGAGAGCTGTGTCACTTATTCATTTACACGGGGAAGTCTGACATAAATTACATAAAACACAAATATAACACTTTGTGAAGTGTTGGGCGCTTACAGGACTTATTAGGCCTAAATATCGCCCCAAAATCGAACCTAACACAATCTACCTACCTACAACTTGCATGGTCATGTGACAAAACGTGCACTGGATTTCAAATTATCGTTTTAAAATGGATTTTCTCCAATTAGGCTTATCCTTTCTGCATATGACATTGATACGATAGCCCTGTTACATATGCTATATTTGGGATTACACTTTCTTAGTAAAATACAAATTCTAGTACTTTTGGAGTTGAGCCCCATCCGGGATTCGAACTCACACCCTCAGAGTTCGACCACTTTCTAAATGGCATTGTGTAATGATAGCCCTGTTGATCTCACCAAGGCGTTATTGAACCGTGCTTTTTGTAAATTAAGAATAAATTTGCACAATTTCAAAGTTAATATGTTACGAAAGAAAAAGTAGATTTTCAAAATAGTAATTGTAATTACTGCACTAAGGGTCTCATTGAGACCGAAGATCATGTTTTCTTTGTATGTGAATATTATAATGACTTACGTTTGCATTATATTACTCAACTCACAGATGTATTCCATGGCCAGTTAACTTCGCCAAATATACTAAATTGCAAAAATGAAACTGTTATTAAAATCACTTCTATTTATATACAAAAACTGTTTATGTCAAGAAAATCGTGACTTAAATGTTATTCTTAAAATCCATTGTAACATAGGCCACATGGCCTACATTACCGAATAAAGTCTGTCTGTATTGAACCAGAGTTCTTGTACAGGCTGGGATGACGCAACGCTAAATGATTTCTAAAATCAACATGCGCTGAGGGGCTCAACTTCTATTTTGTTTATTTACTTCCTACATTCTACCTGCATATTAGCTAGACAGTTTCCTGAAAGTAGTTCAGTGTCGTTTGAAGTGCTCCGAGAAACTAACTAGATCTATTACTCTGATAAATAATAGAAATATTTGTACTCGCCTGAGGAACAGCCGCGGTAAAGATATCAGGTTGACAGTGGAGGCTGTCGACACCCCTTGACGTCGTTAGTGGCACCTAACACTGTTCAAGAAGCAGGTTATCACCAGAAGCAAGGTGCATCTGTTGCATGTAGACTAATGTCCGTGGAATAAATCGGTTGAAATCCTATCTATCTAGTTTTGTTGTTATGCCTGAATAAAACTTACCGGTTATGTCGACCGGTTATACACCTCACATCAATAAGCAGGTTATAAATGTAGCTATTTTTAGGTACAGATCATAGCTCATTGTACTGTTCCTGGGTAACAGGTTATGCTAATGCAGTTGCAGAAGGACCGAGCGACCAAGAACAAAAAAGCTTTGGCAGTAGCACTGATATCGAGCCTTGCGTCCGTCATGGCTATTTATAATTCAAGCTCTATGACAGGATGTAATATGGATTCTTGTTTCTATGCCTGGGTTTTACCGGTCCGGCTATTTTAAGACCCACGTAATAATCGAAGGGTATGTATTTAGCTAGACCCCGTCTCTCATAGCTTTGGCGCAAGTTGGCTATGCTCAAAGGGAGAGGGAACCAGCTTAGGTTTTTTAACATCAAATTTTTAATATTCTTAATGGAACAAAACTATTAAAATAGTTTAATACAATAACCACCGACGCTCAAATTGTTATGACAATACCATTGTTTTCTGAGAAACATTTCGGGACAAATCGAATGACTAGGAAATTAAGGATTGTTTGAAGAAAATATCGGCTAATCGTGTGTGTTTGATTCCACTCCATGTTTTTCTTGTAAACATTAAAATCTCATTCATTACTTGCTCCTGCTGACAAAACCGTGTCGGTGTTAATCATGTTCACATGAGCATTCAATTCTCGATCATCGTCCCAGTGCTTCGCTGGGATTTCCCGGTAATTTGAGATCCACTTTGTTCTAATAATAGGTAAGTGGAAACACCTTAGCAAACTGATGCGGAATTTTACCAGCTGGTCAGTGTCAAGTATAGATTACAAAGGGAATGGGACGAGTCTACGCCAAGATTGACAAGGATTAAGTTTGGGTTTCATCCTCCATAATCTCCAGGGTATACGTTCCGATAAATCTCCACTAGTACCAGTGGATATTTATTGGAACGTATACCCTGGTGATTAGTACTAGTAGAGATTTATAGGAACGTATACTAGTGGAGGATTTATTGGAACGTATACCCTGCAGATTAGTACTAGTAGAGATTTATAGGAACGTATACCCTGTAGATTAGTACTAGTAGAGATTTATAGGAACGTATACCCTGTAGATTAGTACTAGTAGAGATTTATAGGAACGTTACCCTGTAGATTAGTACTAGTAGAGATTTATAGGAACGTATACCCTGGAGATTAGTACTAGTAGAGATTTATAGGAACGTATACCCTGGAGATTAGTACTAGTAGAGATTTATAGGAACGTATACCTTGGAGATATGGTTTGGTAATATATTATACCCAGAGTGACGCTATACCCAGTGTTTAGGAATAGGGAATATGTGCTCGATGTTATAATGATGATTATGACTATTCTAAATGTATCACTATCATCGTCCGTGTTTTGACTGACATACAACAGAAAATGTGCAAACAGTTATATAAATTTCACTGAATAATATCAATGTAACATTTGAAAGAGTTTACCGAAATGACCGCGAGTAAAACCTCGATAATCTGACGACAAATATTCCAGTATTCTAACTTATTCACAAGTTTTTGCGACACATCAAATTAGGAATGTCTTCACTGTCCCGAGAAGAGTGGTTTCACAACTGCACATACGTCAACGTGATGTGGAGGGAAGCCCAAAGTGAGTGAGTGAGTTTAGTTTTACGTCGCTTTTAGCAATAGTCCAGCAATATCACGGCGAGGACACCAGAAATGGACTTCACACATTGTACCCATGTGGAGAATCGAACCCGAGTCTTTGGCGTGACGAGCGTACACTTTAACCACTAGGCTACCCCACAGCCCCTATGAAGCCCAAAGTGATGTATGTCTCAAATGTTTAACGGTTTCATACTTTGTCATAGGCTAGTCATAGTAGCAACATTCAGTATAGCTAGCTTTGTGCCAGTGAACCATAGCAGTTCTTGGTTCAAGCAAATACGGAACAACGAAGGAGCCTATATCCCATAATATATGCTGCGCCGTTATGATAATATTCCCGTTATAAGATGTCAATAATCAATTTATTGTGACAGCAAATTCAACCTTTAGATATCAGTCCATACATTTAACGACTTTTGTTCGATTTTAATCATTTTCATGTGAAAGTGGAGAATGTTGGAGAGTTTTGCGGTAACTGTCGGGTGCAGCGTATGACTGAAGTGCTCATACAATCTTGCAGCGGTCAGTATATTCCCAGGAAGTATGATTTCAGTTTCCATTCATTTGTTTCTGTAAACAAACATGGCATAATTTGAGGATGGGGCGGTTTCGATAGTGAATGAATTATAATTTAACGTCTTATTGGCATTATTACTGAGAAATATAACGACCGGTTTCAAGAAAGCTTCGTTATAGGAACGCCGATTCCTTTAACAATAAGGTGTACGCGTTGTCTGCTTTCCAAGTGCGGAATTCCTGACGATTTCCAACACTATTCTGAAGTCAAGAACTGTAACAGGCTTGATTCAAGTATTTCGATGAAATTCATGACAACTATTGTACGACATGTTACTTCTGGATGGTATTTGACCCATTGTCTGTTTTCAGCGGTGTGGCTGCCATATTGGGAAAAGACCGTTGCCTACACTTACCTTTGTGAACAAATAACAAAAGTGTTATCGGTTACAGTGTGATTTGATTAAAATGGTGAGCGATACTTTAAAGAAAATGTGTTTCTGTTTGCAAGTTTGAATGGTGGTAATATTCTGGTAATCCACAGATAAACATATTTCAAAATGGCATTTCCATTTTAGAAGGTGATGTTTATAGTGGAGTGGTCGCCTTAAAATTAAATTATACATTCTTTGCGATATTTCGATAACATGTTCCAGTCCACCTGTAATCTGTTTTTTGTTTGTAACCTACAGTTCTATATATAATTGTTTAATTTCTGCTAAAACATCGGTACAAATATCTGTATCGAAATGTTGCATCAGTATGTACAGGAAGTTGTCATACACAAAACACATACTGTAAGTAAATAGTTAATAGACAAACTAGGCAATATTTGTTCTGGATGGAAGCGTATTGTTAGTCCTCCCCAAACACATACCTGCACAGTCTAGTGCATATCTGTAGGCTGCTACATGCTGTAAAGTGCGATCTGGCAATACTTATCTCCTGTATTTAGGACAAACATCTGTTTCAAGGAGAGCAAATACTGTACCGCTATATTTTCAGTTAGCTATCTGAGCCATGTCATCGTGATAGTGTGTCCCAGTAGTTGTAACCAAAAAAGGACTACGGAATTGATTGTACAAGCTGCAAAGGGGAGGGGTGGGTGGGGTTGGGTGGTTGTTCAGTATAAATATATATTTTTTGTATCGAAAGGGAGGGGGTATGTCGATATGACATGCTGCTTCTTCAATACATAAGCCAGTGTAATGCAATAACACAGAGGTCACTAAGGGAATGAATTTAAGTGACAATCATCGGAGTTATTATGAAGGAGTTTTTGTAGATATTCGTGATATAACACTGTGAAAACTCGTCTGGTACATCGCAAATGTTTGATGTATTAGACATTATTGAAATTACTACGGGCCCGGGGTCAAGCCATAGCAATATGGGGCGCTGGGGTAGCGTTCAATGCGTTCACACTGAAAGTCCTGGTTCGATTCCCACATGGGTACAATGTGTGAAGCCCATTTCTGGTGTTTCGCGCTGGAATATTTCTAAAAGCGGCGTAAAACTAAACTAACTCACTCACTCATAGCAGTATGGCGAAGGATCTACACCAATGCAAAAACCTCGCCAAGGTATACTTTTTTAACCTCAAAATGACAAAGGGAACACATTGACAGTGGATCCGGTATAACATAATGGTTTAAACCGTTCCTTTAAACATAATCATCGCTTCCTACGTCCACAGAGAGGAACGTACCTAATCCCCTTATTTCTCACTGTAACTATGACCGTAGTTAACCAGACCAGTCAGAATCCAGAAAAGGACGTTTTACCTTGAGATCAGCTGTTCTTCTGGAATCTGAAGCACAGAAAGCTGTTTGCCACCAAGAGTGCATGTTGCAAGTCTTTCTTGAAATCGCAAATCATCATAACATAATTTGGAGTGCATTATGTCTTGGAATCTCTCAAATAATAAGTAAAATCAGTACCTGGTGGTCATGTTCTGCTGTTAAGTGTAGGTGATTATACATTAAATATGTGATTGTTCTACACTGAAGGCCCGATCTAGATCTCATCTCGACCTGACTATGGCCGCTTGTGTCTAAATGTTGTCTTAATACGGTTGACCCTCTCGGTTGTAAAGCTTTGAGAATATGTCTGTGGGATATTAGCTCTTCAGATTAGTGCTAACACATGCCTTTTCTTTTCTTGCCCTTGTTATGACTTAATAAGATCAGAAAAATATTTCTATACTAATGGTTTTGACTTAAATTCAATTCTTCAAGGTATTCAAACTTCCAGCAACAGAATTAATCAGCTTATTCTTGACTCTGTTCATAAATACTTACTGCTTTCAAATAGATTCTAATGATTCTAAACTCTTATGTATGCAATGACTATGAACTATTGAATGTAATTTTGTAGACATTTTCCTATGATTATGGATTTCATGCCATTGTGGAAATAATTGCTTCTGTACTTTGTTTGAAATTAATCATTGATTGTATTGTGTTATATTTGATGGAGCAGCACTCACATAAGCCGTTGGCTTGTTGTGTCAATCCATATTCAATGTTATGTTTATATTTCATGAATAAAATATGTTTATAAAAAAAGGGATGCCTCTTCACGTTCGTAGACAACAAGTATCTATGAAATACTTCGTAAAAATAAAAAAACAAGAACAATGCAGTCATCTACACTGTTAATCACTATAGTCTGTTTGCAGTGAAAACGTACCGATGAATTTCACTCTAAATAAAAAAGTAAATTGATTTAAGCGAAATTAAGATTGCGAATCCTCATAATTTTACCTTGCCAATCGAACATTCAAATCTCAGAATTTTATTCAACTTAGGATAAAAGTTGTTTA